TCCTTCTATAAATCTGAGACATATTTCATTCTTTGGTTTCTCTAAAAATCTAAGTCCTATTTATAGTCACTATGTGTTAAATTAAATTGTTGATCGGAAACCAAGAAACCATTGTAGAACTTATTGGTTGCATGTTCATTGGTTTTGTCACATAGTGAGTGAGTTAATTGCTTCTTATTTTTTATCAAAAGAAATAGTCTCATATTCTTGGAAGGAGGGAGTACAAAGTAAACAGAAAGGGCTAAACAGAAGAGCAATCATTTCTACAAGACATAGAGATTTGTCAAGTTGTTCAACAAAAAATAGCTGTTGGTTTCTTGTAACGACAAAAAGTACGACTTGTAATGACGTATATGTGATGTAATGTTTAATGGATTATAATTAATTAATGACTATACATGTAATGACGTATTATTGTTGTAATTAATTGAATGTTATTAAAATTTATTCTGGAAAAAGTATAATTTGGATAGGCACAATATTCATTTTTTGTTTAAATTCAGAATAAAACATCGACCTTAATTACCAAGTCCCCGTGAGATGCTCCTGGAACCATACCATCTGTGCCGGTTCGTGAACCCAAACCGATAAATATATGTTTGGATATATATATGAGGCTACTCAATCGGCACGGATAACGATTTAAAATGGACGGATGATACACAATATTGTTGATATTATGTTGATTTTATCACAAGTAACAAACTCACTATAGAAAGACGAAGAGAGTTGGCAGTTGACTAAAGATCCTATCATTTTTTTAAAAGTAAGAACATATATAGAAGATCACCAGTTATCCACGCTATTGATTTGTAAAATTCAGTCTCTTTCCAGGGTAGTTGTTCATTTGTCGATTTCCTTTCGGTACTGTTGTCGGGAAAAAAAATATGGAGGAAACGAGAACAACTATGAAACATGATCATGACAACGATGTAGACCGGCAATGGAAGAACAACTACGGAAGAACAAGACAAAGAGATAAAGAAAATAAGGACGAAGTGTACCTCAGCAAAGGCGCTTCAAATCCTGAAGAAACCAACTCGATCAACAACGATGCATGCAGGAGCCAATATTATAAACGTTTATCAAATAGAGAAATGGCAGTGACTGATCAGTAGGCTACTCATGAATCACGGCTAGGGATGAAAATGGTACGGAAACAACATTTATCGTTTTCGTTTCCATATTTATTTTTCGAAATCAGAATCAGAAACTCCGGATACGAAAACAGAATCAAATACGAAAATGAAGCAAATACGAATCGGAGCAAATACGGTATGGATATTTATTGGAATATAAAAAGCTCTTAAACTGAACTTCTCAAATCGACGACGAATAGATGTAGTTAAATATTTTTTTCTAAAACAACAAATCGACATTTCTATTTTTTTTTATCAATAGTAATAATACAACTAGTTGTACACTTTACTTTTTTAGAAAAGAAACTATATTCATCTATAACTATAAGAAGTATGACATGACCTAATAAAAACTAAAAAAAAAACATTAGCCAAAAGAAATCTAAAGTACTAGACAACAAAAAATATTTCTATTTAATTAAGCACCTCAATACATAGTATAAATCTAAATATTAAGAGGAGATAGCTGAAGCTAATTAGTTGTACATGAGAAATACTCTGTTCCCGATTCCGAGAGAAAATTTGAATTCATTTCCAGAAAGTTTCTGATGATAGCAACCTTATCATATTCGTTTCCGTTTCAAAAAAAAATCCGAATTCGTTCCCGTTTCTGAAAGTTTCAGAAAAAATTCCGACCGGCACTTTCCGTTTCCGAAAACATGTCCAGAATCCGGTAACTTTCCGAACCATTTTCATCCCTAATCATCATAGGGTTTGAATAGAACAAAATTATTTGAAATTTAAACATTTTTTTGACCGAAATTGAATAAGCTTTACTAAATTCATACAAACTAAAAATATTTGAAATTTTTGGGCGAAATAATTTAGTCTTTTTACTTTTTTGGGGGGGTTCCAAAATTTTGAAAATTTAAAACCTAGGCTGTGTTTAGTTCGTGTGCCAAAAATTTTTTAAGTATATGGGCACATATTTGAAGTATTAAACGTAGACTAATAACAAAACAAATTACAGATTCCTCCTGTAAACTGCGAGACGAATCTATTAAGCATAATTAATCTGTCATTAGTAAATGTTTACTGTAGCATCACATTGTCAAATCATGACGTAATTAGGCTCGAAAGATTCGTCTCACGATTTACATGCAAACTGTGTAATTGGTTTTTTTCGTCCACATTTAATGCTCCATACATGTATCCAAACATTTAATGTGACGGAAAAAATTGAAAGTTTGAAGAAAAAAGTTTGAATCTAAACACGGACCTAAATTTTAAACCCTGAATCATAATCCTAGACATGCACTCACCGAAAACGTCGGAGGCAAGGAGGACAGCCTTGGTGGAATGGACGGCACCAGTGACATAGGCCTCGAAGCCTGCCAGGTCATGTACGACCACGCCGGCCTCACCTCCGCCGGCTGTCAAGTCCGGCGGGTTGTCGAGGCACTGGGAGTGCGTTGGAGCAGCAGCCGCAGCGGCGGCGAGCACGGCGAGGCTGAGTAACAACGCCCATGCCATGGTTCTCATGCAAGAATTGGCTCTACCGAGATACCTTGGATTTTTGTTTTCTTTACGTGGCTTTAATCGTTCGGTAGTAATACTGAGAGAGCAGCTCGTTGCTAACTATATAGGCAAACGGGACGGACTTGGAGTGAGATCATCAGAGCTATAGTTTATATTTTTCATTTTGACAATGTACACGTGTTTTTCTATTACTTTGAATTGAATTAAATGTTCTTAATTAAAGGAAAAGAGCTTCTAGTCTAGTGGTTACAAGAGCCTCAGTAGTACCTAAGGTCCTGGCTTTGACTCCCCGTGGGAGCAAATTTTCTAGGATTTAATGACTTTGTGCTTTCAGTGTGGTAGGTGATGTACCCGTCGACAGGATTTACTGGCCCTGTCGAGGCGCCTATGGTGACTTCGTCAATTTCTAGGATTTATCGGCCCAGTCTTCGAAGATTCTCATAGGGGTAGGGTTTGCTTGCGTGCGTTTATAGGGGTGCATGAGTGTGCGTGCATTGTGAGTGTCTGTGTTGCACTGTGTAATTCAGAAAAAAAATGTTCTCAATTTAATTTACACATTATAGTGGTTCACACACATCAGAGCGCCATTAATTGTAATCGATCCATAGCTCCGTTGATATCAACCAAGGATTAATTGACACCGTACCGTTTTGTACTTGCGAGAAAGCAATAAGCATTTCATAAGAGGATGTATATACGGTTCAAAATAAACATCCGTCTGAAAAATAGAAGGGTTTCGTCTGCAGAAATGGTTTTCTTAGTAGTGTTCTAGCTAGCATCTCCACCAACTATAGATATACAGCTATATATACTTTTTAACGTTTGCATTTTCTATCGGCCTCTACCTGCTTCCTCCTTGTCATATGCTATTTCTTAAACCAGAATCATATAATATGTAGTCATTTGACAGTAATGAAATGATGATTAGGTCTTTCCTCCTGCAAAACTTATATCAAAATATAATCACTTGTAGCACGAATACTACTGCCAAGAACTCTCTCACCCTTACCCTCCCTTATTTAATAAGATGCACCAAAGTCTTTTCTTATAAACCTTAATCTTTTCTAAACAACCAACAAATGCTTATATATCATAATAGATGGATGGGAACATAACATCTACATATAAGATTCATGTGCATACTCCGTGTATACCAACTAACAAATATCACAATAAATTCTAGAAAAAAATTGTGCATATACTTTCAGTAGTATTACACACCTATAATGAAAATTTTAACCCCATAGTCATTATAGTTTAGACATAACAAAAATATTTAACAGTTTTAAGGCTATAAGTCTATCTGAATTTTGTATTTTTCTCTTTATATATCATGAATTTAAAGATGTGACTTTACGTGTAGATGTGTAATATTACTAAAAGTATTTGTTTCTAATGTTTTTAGTGATATTTGATACATTTTCAAGACGAAGTGTATATATATTCCCTCGGTAAGAAAACTATATCTGCACCAGACTTATAAATCTTGGGGAGAGCATTGAACGTTCCTCATTGATGGCATATATGTCATCTGTTGACATTTAGCACTGAATTAAAAAAAATTTTACACGGTTAGAGTGAGGATGCCGTCTTGTTTTCTCTACTAGTACCAACAATAATCAGAAGTCATGCATGCTTCTGTAAGTTACCGACAGCCACCATTCGAAACATCGTAATTAATTAAGCGATACAAATTATTTTGTGATGCTGATTGTATACCTGATGAATCATTGAAGTATATTACAGTAAACGTTAGGACGCCATTTCAGACACATGAGACGTGTTTGTTATAAGCTGGTTTCGCGCGTCTAGTAGATTAGTGAAGAATGATATACTCAATCTGCAATGCATGAAAGAATATTTACGAGAACCACTTTACAGGCCACGTTTTAGAATCGTAGTTTTTGATGAATAAATTTAATCTTAAATAGAATTCAAAATAAAATTATCTGTACTGTGGACCACAAATAAGAAAAGATGTGAAAAAAAAACTAAGCAGATGGCTAACAGTACTTATTCAGCCTGCAAGGTTGTTAATGCAAATTTTTACATGGACCAGGAATTTATTCTGAAGAAACCAGTCGAGCATGAAAGCAAGACCTTGTGTTTAGCGATTTAGCCAACGGGTCGCTGGTATTTTATCTACAGGCAAATCTATGATGAACTCCTGTAAAAATCTTGGCACAGAACTCTCTGTAGCTGTATTATAAAGAAGAAATTGGATCAAACCCACAGCTTTCCAGTCGGTCCACAACTGCCTCATTGTACACAGATTGACCTTCGTTTTTCGTTAGCCTGACAAATTAAATGTTTCAGTTTCAGCTACTACTCTGAGCTCTGAACGTTTCCTTATAATGGAAGCTTATGGTTCATACATGCAAATTATCTGTACAAATTTTATTTCTGAAAAAAAAAAGTTGAGACAAATATATATAATTATGCCCAGTACATGAATAAGAAACACAAAACCACAAGGATTAGGACCAGCAACAATTAAGACCACATCGATAGCCCAAAAAGCAAATACTAGCAAGCTTATCTTCATTATTTCAGAAAAAAAAAAAGATCAGAGCAGCAACAATGTCATAGCATACAACAAAAACAAAAATGGGAACACATAGCATAGAACAATACAGGACACATGAACCGTCCTGAAAAATTCAGAACAGATGCACTAGATCTCTTAGCTCGTCCAGTGGGACGAAGGCCATGGCCATCAGGACGGAGAGCAGCAGGTACAAGGCACCACCACCAGCAACGGTGACTGGTGGCTGCAAGCCGGCAACAGGACGAGGGACCCCAGCAGCAACGAGGAGCCCTGGTCGAAGTGCTGCAATCGGCACCAATCCAACCACAGTTAACAGGTAATGGTATGTTGAACACAAGAGACCAAAATCGTGGAATTGACTGATTTATTCAACTCATAGCAACCATGTCATGGCAATTATCCAGCAAACATGATAACATCTCAGCTTTGATTGCACCAATTTTCCTCGAACCTATCACATAACTTTAGAAACAGAGCAGAAAGAAATCCTGAGTAAGAGGACAGCAAGCAAGAGAGCACGAAACCTCTCGCGTCGATCACTGCAACTTCATCTCCATGATGCTCTTGGCCTTTGGGGCGTACAGAGAGTACACCACCGCCTGCCGCTTTGCCACCTCCAGCTGCTTCTTCCCGTCCGCGAATGCTGCCGCCGCGGCAGCCGTGTCGCCGAGGGCACGGTTCTCACGGAAGGCGTCCGCGGCGCGGCGGCGCGTGTACTCGCGGATGTTGTAGTCAGAGAACTGCCTTGCCGTGCGGAGGAGGGACCGGAAGAGGGACAGTGCCTCCGCTCTCGTCGGTGCCACTGCCATGGATGCGCTTCGTCGCGGATGTTGTTCGTGCGCTAGAGAACTAGTACCAGAGAACAACTCTCCAGAATCCAGATAGCTGCTTGGGCTAATGGCGGCAAGGGAAAGAAAAGAGGAGAGATGCCCCTGAACCTGAACCTGAACCACACACAACAAGAATGCAAAAGATTATTAGACCACCTCTTGACTAGTATAGTACTAACATAGCACTATTAACAATAATAATGAATGAAAATTGAAAACTATTACTAGTAATATGCCCGTGCTAAACGCTACAGTGTAATTCTATTTATCTTTAATAACTTTTAAATTTTCCTATTATCAAAAAAAATTTCTATGATATGTGCAATTAAGCTTTAATTCAATTCATGCCGGACATATATAGAATATACCCTATACCCTGCAGGTAAATAACTACCCTAATATTATATAAAGCGTTAAGATGCACATGTTCTTTGAACATTCAGCTTACACACACGGAGTATAAATACAGCACGCATATGTTTTATGAGCGATTTGATCATGACTACAAACATGAGAAAATGTCCTGACCCTGGTTAGGTGCCCATACATTGCAACGGGAAAATAATACTCCCTCCGTTTTTTAATAGATGACGCCGTTGACTATTTCTCACATGTTTGACCATTTATCTTATTCAAAAAATTTATGCAAATGTATAAGATATAAATCACACTTATGGTACTATGAGTGATAAAACAACTCATAACAAAATAAATTATAATTACGTAAATTTTTTGAATAAGACGAATGGTCGAACATGTGAGAAAAAGTCAACGGCGTCATCTATTAAAAAACGGAGGTAGTATATGCAATTGTTAGCTATGTACAATATAAATACCCTAATTCTTTGATCCAAAGTACTAAAGTATCCACGTCAAATAATCTGACTCGAGGGGCAACAAATGATACATGCATAACAGTCCAGGATCTTGAGCATAGAAGAAACAAATGATACAAACCATTCCCATTATTATTTACAACACATTGCCCTGTGTTACTAAATGACATTATCCACCATAGCTGTCATGGTGCCTTTTTTATTGTCTGATCACGTCAACAAAATTAGGGTGCTCTATGGGCATAAATTTCAAAATATACGGAACATATAAAACTATATGAAGGAATTTCCTCAAACACAGTAATAGCCTAACCGCAACATTGGGAAAGCATAAAAATCAGTGAACTAAAAATCGGGCCACTATTTGTGCCAACCTTATACTTTGGAGCAATTAGGCACAAGCGCAAGGTGATTCCTTCTGAGTTTTTGAATTTGGTATGTCCCGTCAAGGCTTTCTGTCTATATATGCACACGTAGTAGGACCAGCAAAATTGAAACCAAAACAAAATCCAGAACAATGTAGATCCCCTTGCACTGGTCTCATACAAAACACATAAAAAACCGAAACTTCTCCCCCTGGCACAATAATCATGACAATATTTTTTTCTGGAGCTTGCAATCAAGATGCAGCAATTGGTAAGCATTAGGAATTCTCACTGATGTATGCTATAGTGGGAGGGAGGAAAATTAAACAGAAAGTATATATTCATTTTTATTCACTATTTTATCTCTATTTCAGTCACTTTTAAACAGATGCATAATAGCCATCGATAATTTAATATTAGGATGATTCATAGCATCTGTTATCATGCTCCCGTATAACGCAGCCGCTCCCAAATTATGAAGGGTAATCACATTGATCCAATGCAAAAGGAGAACAAAATAAACTAAACGATCAGGTTTGAATAAATGTATCACGGCAATGTCAGCCTAAGATTTGTAAGGACTAAAAAATTGCAAGGAGGGCTAGAAAGCTGCTCACCGAGTTGGAACTCGTGACCGCACCACAGCCTTTCCGTAGACCACCGTGTCGATGCAGATTGAGCACTCAATCGGAGGGAAGGCGGCAAGGCCTTCTTGGCAATCGTTTGCAGAGGCTGAACGCCGCGCAGCGTTGGTGAAAGATAGCGGCGGACGGCAGCACTTTGTTGGCAGAAGATCTTCGGTGGGTGACTGATGGAAAGAGAGGGGAGGCGCAGGGTATTCCGATATCGGAGGGAGCGCCTCAGGTGGTTGTGCGTGGCGACGACGGGGGAGATCCTGACCGGCGTAGGGAACGGCGATGTGGGAGGAGAGCGACAGCTGCGTGATTTGGGGAGGTCACGGCGCGGTTGGCGTCGCCAATCTTGCAAAATACTGAAGGAACACAAAGAGAATCAAATCCAGTATGAGTAAAAACTTTTGAAAGTGCAGTGTGACAGTGGAATTCTTCTGTTTGACCATTTTAGTGAATAGTTTTAGCATATTTGGTCCTTTCTAAATGAAAAACAATTGTCAGGAAACATATTCATCTAGATTGTGTTTATACTCAACAAACCAATGCATATGGAAGATCAATATGTACAAAGGTATATAGTCCTACAAGGTTCCGATGACAGGGTATAAGCTACAAGGTTCCGATGGCAATCCATGAAAAAACTAAAGGAACAAAGATAAATCAACAGAATATTAAGAAATTAGCTCCAAAAATAATGAGGCATTTATCAGCTGCAATGAATATCATGAAATTAGATCTAAAAATTGCACAATCATCAAATAGGTTTCGTAGGGAAATCAAAACTCATTCAACCGCATGATTGTCTAGGGTGAACTGAATTTTTGCCTCAAATTATTACCCCCCCTCCCCCCCCCACAAAAAAAAAGCGCCCTAAAGGCATATCATCGAGCACTAGGGGAGCAATGGCACCATTGTACCTCTCAGGAGCCACAGAATTTTTGCGGTGGAGCGACGACGACACGACAGGAGGAGCGCGGCACGTGCAGGGGGGTGGGGGAGGGGAGCACGGCCGGGATGGAACTCCGCGAGAGAAAACCTTGACGACTCCGGGAGTGCGCCGGGTTCTGCCGCCCCCTGATTTTTCTGATGATACGGGGGGACTGCGCGATGGCAGGGCGTCGGCGGCGTCGCGGGGTGAGGGGTCGCCGGCGGCCGCGACGGCGGGGCGCGGCGGCGTGATTTGAGGGCTTGCGGGTGTGCGAGAGATTCAGAGAGAGAGAGAGAGGGGAAACGTGGCGATACAACTTACAAGGCATTGGCAAGGGTTTATACAATACATGGAAAATTAGAACCGTGCCATTATAATTTTGTAAAATTTGAGATATGCCATCCTGACCCACATGTCATTAATTCATGTGGGTCCTACATGTCATTGAGATACCGATGGCATATCTCAAACTTTACAAAATTATAATGGCATGGTTCCAATTTACCCTTTATACATTTACCGGTTGGCCATTCAAGCCCCGTCGTATCGTATCACGGTTTGGTTTTCGACGAATTCCGACCTAATTTTGACCAAATTTACTGTGTAACATTTGAATCTATCCGAAAGCATTCAAAATTTCAACCGAAAATTAATTCTGAGCCTTGTCGAAACATCAAGAAACCACGCAAACCAATCGGCTTTGTAAATCCTGGATGTTGGATTAGATGATTTTGGATCATCGGATTTGATATATTTATAATATAATAAATAATAATAATAATAATAATATGATAATAAATAAAATAAATAAATAATAGATAGCTAGACTATAGTATAGGAGTAAACAAGTACTAGTCGTGCTAAAGGAATTGAGCGTGTTGACTTGTGTAATTGGCACTAAATCTAGCTATCAATATTAGTCTATTGCGTTGTAGAGCGGCGGAGCCAAATTAGGATTCTACCTCTACTATAATGGTGAAATTAAGAGAAGAAAGTGATGGTACTCATTATTGAGTGATTTTTTTTTAATAAATGGTTGTAGCTCTTTAAACAATGGCCGGTATTTTTTTATTCCATCATTGGAAAAACAGTAAAGCCCAACAGGCATTGAGTGGGTATAAAGAAATTAGCAACCAAATTCTGGGTCCAAGCCACCAGATTGCAGACACTCATTGTATTCAGCCTGCATGCATGGCTGTTTATGCAAATTTGTACATGGACACCGGTAATTTATTCTGAAGAAACATTTGCATGTTCTTTCATGTAGTATTTATTAAGTTTCATCACTTCAAGTGTTTCTGAAACCAGTCCAGCATTAAGGCGAGAGCTTGTTTCCCGGTTTCGACAGCAAACGGGTCGCTGGTGTTATATCGACCGGCAAATCCATGGGAAACTCCTGGAAAAATCTTGGCGTAGAAATCAATCTGCAACAACAACAATATCATTGTGTTACTCTGTACCGTATATGCTAGAAGAAGAAATTGGGTCAAAGCCACAGTTTTTTAATTGATTTACAAGTGCCTTGTACATTGATCGCCTCGTTAACTTGCCAAATATTTCAGTTTCAGTTGTTCAGAGCTTTCAATCCCTTATTATAACATACATAAGTTTTTTTTTCCTTCTCTATTCAATGAAATTTGCTGCATGTGCCGATTTATTTAAAAAAATCCCTTATTTATTCACGATGAGTCATCAACACGTGGATTTAACCTATATGTGATTGAGAGGATGATGGACAAATTAGAAATCGTGTCAACTTTTAGTGGAAAATGAAGATTTTATCCGAGAAAAAAAGGTAACGAGACAAAAACATGCTCAACGAAATCAAACAAGAACTCACATCGTTTCTTTGACGCAAGGCATGCACATACTGGTAGACTAATCTTGGTGGTGTAACTGTGTCATTCTGACCTCCAAGGATCTCGATGGGCCATTTAACCTCTGTTTATCAACGGGAATAATTAATATGAGTAAATAATACAGATTAGATCAAATGATAAATATTGCATAGCGCCAAAAAGTTCAACTTCACCTTTCATATCATCAGCAGTCACAGCGTAAGGATGAGAGATGACAACCGCTTCTACCTCATTGGTTTTTGCTACCGTCACAGCAAACTTTCCTGCCAGATAAACATGTTTTTAGAGACTTTAATTTCTATCAAACATAGTATAATGTGGATAGGAAGTTTCAAGAGTGTATTCATAGATTAAGATTTTTTTAGATAATATTCATAGATTAGGATATATATAGATATAAAGTATAAACACATAAATACATTTTCTTGTGTTTGATCAATATGACTCACCACCCCAACAATATCCTCCAACTCCAACGACTGATTTTCCTTCGTTTCTTAGAAAAGCAAATATTGATTTAGCCTTTTCAGCTTCTTTCACCTGCCATGAATGGTCAATTGAATATGCTGATCAATATCAACTTATTGACTCAATTTCAACCTTTTGACTTATTGATATGCATCTTAATTTTCTAAAAAACAGAGGGGGAAACCCTCAGCTTCCTACAGAAACCATCCATTACCCTCCATAAGCATCTCAGCCAGGTCAAGGACTGAAGGTTTTGCTATGCAACTATAAGATCAAAATCACCCCTTAGTAGGTAATATCATATGAAAGATTTTGTCACAACAAATTTGAATATATTATTTTTCATATACCCAAAAACCACTACCAGGATGGTAAACTTTCCCGGGTGTCAAAAAGTATTTCTGGGTGTTTTACAAAGAACACGGGAAGCTTCCTGGGCGTGGGACAATGCACACGGGATGCCTGTATAACTCCCGGGAAGATACGTGGCAACGGTTTCCGTCCAAGATAACGTGAGATTTGTTGCAACATACTGTGGCCCACTTGTCAGATGAAAATATTGGCGTGTACATGAGTCCCCATCCCCCCGAGAAAATTGCATATCTACCATCCCATAAGAATGGCTTCGCTAGAATACCATTATGAAAACGGGCTTCGCTGGAATACCTTCCTCAACCAGAGTGTCTTCGCCAAAATGCCATCCCGGACAGAAATGCCCCTGGCTCTTCTTCTTCCTCCATCTCGCGCGTGAAGAGCTCGCCGGCGGCCATGGCTAGCTCCCTCCCTGCCATGGCTAGCTCGCCACGGGCTCCGGCGGAGGGCTGCGCGGTGGCGGCAGGCGCGGTCGACGGCGGCGGCCACGGGCTCCGGCGGAGGGCGGCGTGGTGGCGGCTAGCGCGGTCGACGGCGGCGGCCGCGGGCTCCGGCGTAGGGCGGCGCGGTGGCGGCTGGCACGGTCGACGGCGGCGGCCGTGGGCTCCGGCGGAGGGTGGTGCGGTGGCGACTGGCGCGGTCGACGGCGGCTGGCTACGCGGTGGCAACGAGGAGGCGGCGATGGCCAGGAGCTGCGCCACCGGCTCACGCGCGCCGGCGGGATCCACGCGTCGTCGCCGGAGTCCTTCCGCGACGACCTCAGCTGCACAGGCGCAGGTGGGGATGGCAGGGGAGGGCAGCGCCCCAATCGCCGTCGGCAAGGCAGCATCGGCGCGGCGGTGGAGATGGCCATGGCTGCCGGCGAGCTCTTCACGCGCGGGATGGAGGAAGAAGAAGAGCCAGGGGCATTTCCGTCCAGGATGGTATTTTGGCGAAGACACTCTGGTTGAGGATGGTATTCCAGCGAAGCCTGTTTTCATAATGGTATTCTAGCGAAGCCATTCTTATGGGATGGTAGATATGCAATTTTCTCCATCCCCCCAGAGCGCCGATTTTTTTTTTATTCCTTGTTTCCCGATTTTTTTTTCGGACTCCATCTCTCTCCCGAGAAATCCCCAATCTGAGAAATCCCTAACTACGCCGCCAGCGCGTGACTCCGCGGCGTCACCGTCCTGCGCACGAAGCCGCCGCCGCTCCACCGCCGCAGGCCAACTCCTCCACGCAACTCCCCCACGCCAGACCCCAACGCCGACCAACTCCTCCACCCACCTCCCTGCCTAATCCTCCTCTTCCCCCACCGTCTCCGCCGTCCATCGCCGCCTCCACCGTCCATCGCCGCCTCCGCCGTCACCCCTTTGGACCTCCTCTTCCCCCACTCAGCTCATCCCCACCTCAGCCATCATCCACCAGGTTGAGCCATACTCCATCTCCAGGCCTTCCTCTACCCTCCTCGGCTTCACTGGTATTTATGTTTTATTCTGATTTTCCTCAGTTTAGTTCCCTCTAGTTTTGTTCGATGTAATGAAGATTCAGTTTCTGTCATATAATGTGCTTGATTTTGATGATTTGCAGGTTGTTCCCACCCAGCCATATCCGTTCACTTTTTTTTGTTCAGAGAGTGATTTGGTCATCCAGATCATAAGCAAGGTAAAAAAACTTGACATGTTTAATGCATTGTGATATGGCTAATATTTACTTCCTTTTATGCTTCTCATTTTAGTTATCTTGGCCGTGTAGATTTTTACTTGTTAGGACTTGTACTTCTGATTACTAGCGATGTATTGCCATTGTTTTAGTTTTTCAGCTTAACACTAGAGAGATATTCTAGTTTTCATTAAAGTGCACTGTTTGTGCCTTTAATTTGCTGAACGTAGAACAACAGAAGTGGACATTGTAGTATGAATTCTTTTTACTCGTTGACTAATCCGAGGAATTTTTTGTCACTGAATTTGTGTATTGGTGGGCTCAAAAGACTCCGGAAGGATGGAAATTGTGTGCGGAACTGCATTGGTGTAATGAAGAGTGGATAAAAGAGTCATGTGAAGGTAGGGTATACAGGGAAATGATGGATGGGCCAGCACACCGTCAAGGCAGCGCTTCACTTGACCGATTCCAAAAGAACATGGTAACTTAAATCACCTTTCACATATTGGCATAAAATCTTGAAATGTATTTTACAGATTAAAATAATCCAATTGTTATTTTGTTTCATGAAGGAGAAGAAGGAGAAGAGGCCAGTGGGTATATTTGAGGCTTATGCAGAAGCAAGGAAGAATGGAAAAGATGGAGAGGACTATTGTACTGACCGTGTCAAGGGTAAGCTTGTAAGTAGTTGCACTCTAGCTTGCACAAAATTTGATCAGCAACTTTTTAATCTCTTCCCATTTGAATAAACACCCAACTTATCATCCAGGAAGCTTATTTTGGAGTTGTTAAGGAAAAGCATGGTGCAAGTCCTGATTTGATGAAATAACCCATTGATGGTAAGGCTTGCCAACATGAAACATGTTACTTAACATCTGCGATACAGCTGGTAACTTGTAGTTTTGCCTCCTCTATGTACTTATTAATTTTAAAATTCATCAACATGTATAAATTTAACTATTTGCATTGTCATGTGTAAATAAATTTCAGGCGCTTCAATCTGCGATGAAAGCTAATGTTTTGCCTCCACGACCAGCGGCCCCAACATGCCCCACTGTCTATTTAGGCGAGCAATCTTATACCAACATTAATGACCTTTTTACCAGATAGTTCCATCTTCGAAAAAGCATATAATCTGAATGCATTCAATATGTAAACAGTTGCCTAAGATATAACACATAGTTTAATCTAAATAGGTAAAATGCATATATAGGTACCTAAGAAGTAAGACTAACTACATTTGATGCATGTATCTAGTTGCTAGCTATAGTTCAATCTAGTTCTTTATGTATCTTCTTCCTGGTTTGTGCTAACTGGGCTCTTTGTACAGGACAAGTAGGAACCACTTGGTTAGACAAATGGCATGCTTGACATTTGTACTGTTAATTGTCTTTGGGCTTGTGATTTTAATCCATCTAGGCATGAATCTCTAACAATGTGCACTCTTAAACTTTCATAATATGCTATAGCAATATTTATCTGGCAATATATTCTATACAATATTTATCAGCACCTTCTGACACACTATAATTTTTCAGCCATCATCTAGATCAAGTGCGTCCAATTGCCAGCCATGATTCATTGCTACAGAAATCCATCCAAACATCAAGATCTGGAACAATGATTTTTGGATGTAGTTCATGTTATTTTGGTCTTACCTATCCAATGGACTCCCAGATATTATTCAAGAACTGGTACTTATGATGTTCGAAAAAAATCTACCTATGTGAAGGAGCAAACATTACTTTTGTGTGTATTCCATAGATTGGTTGTGGCTGTTTGAATATGTATGTGTGCAACTAAAACAAATATCTGGTATTAACATTTGTACAGATCAGTTTATGCTTAGTACTTGCACTGATTGTATTACATTGCTGAATATTTGAGTGCTTGTACCGATTCTATTTCATTGCTTATTATTTCTACTACCCGTGTGATGGTGAACTGTAGGACTGAAACTTCCTGGGTGTGGTTAGCACACGGGAAGAATGTTGAGCTGTAGTACTGAAACATCCCGGGTGTTGCAAAAGAACCAGCACCCGAGAAGTATTCTGTTGCCGTTTCCGTTCTGTTGAACATCCCGAGCGTTGGATTTTTCTCCCGTGCTGCTCTAACCACCCAGGATGTCTAGAGCTTTCCTGAGCGCTGCCTTCTTGATACCCGGGAATCCAAGTCGGGAAAGCTTCAACGCTCCCGTGTGAGCATTCCCGGGTGTTGACACACGGGAAGATTTTTCCCGGGTGTTTCACCTAGTTTCCTGGGTGTTATAGGCACACGGGAAACTTTCGCATCCTGGTAGTGAACCTAAATTTTAAACGATTTTATTTTTTTATGATTAAAATTAGCTCATATTGACTGCACGTGTTCCAAAACTACTTACTCCCTTCGTTACATAAAAAACTAACCTGGGATCGGATTTAATATTTTCCAGTACTACAAATCCGATCCTACGTTTTTTTTTTTGAACGGATGGAGTATTCCTCGGAGCAGGAGTACTGTAAGACAAATCACTTCAGCCTCGTTTCAATGGACCAGTTGCCCCATCCATTTGTATGGGGTATGACTTCGAAATTTTGGCCTATCCAAACGATGGTTTAAGATGGTGATCGAGAAGAATTGTACCGGAGAGTGAGACTCGAGCCATTCGGTAAAGTTCACAGATGTGGTTGCTGGATCTCCATGAAACAAATCAGGTACCACGACGTAATTAATATCCGGCATCACCAACTTTATCAGCTATTTGCCTGTAATTGTCAGCATCATTATTATCACGCAAATGTGTTCTGTTTTCCGAAGTTATAGAGAAAACACATAAGAGCAAAAACACACACACATACATGTGTTAGGGACTTAGGGTGTGTTCAGAACAACATTTTCCCAATTGCTAATCCCTCGTTTTTCACGCGCATATTGTCCAAACTGTCAAACGATTTGTTTTTTTCAAAAAAAAAATACATAAAAAGTTACTTTAAAAATCATATTAATAAATTCTTTAAGTTTTTTTAGCTACTACTTAATTAATTACATGCTAATTCGCCGCTCCATTTTATATGCCGGAGGTGAAGGGTTCCTAACCTTCAACACTGAATTCAGCCTTAGAGCATCTCCAAGAGACTCTCCATCCAACTCTTCAAGCTAAATTTTAGCCAACATAGCAAAAAAAAAAAAGTGCTCCAAAAGACTCTCCGTCTAGATGGCTTATCTAAAAAAAATCTAGCTGGCCAAATATGGCACTCAATACTATCGTCTATTTTCCTCCTCCCACGTTCTCTCTCTACCTCCATCAACCAGAGCAACACTGTCGTCCTAGGAGCCGACTGCAGCCGTGGCCAAGTATCCTACTGACCAGCCAAAGAGGTCGTAGCCGCGCACGAGGTCCGCCGCCTCACCGGACTTCTTCCAAGTACCGTCCCCGCCGGTTCCCACTGCTGCCCTGCCCCGCCCCACACCGATTCCTGCTGCCGCAGGTGATGACCACCACCACCACCACCACCATCTGTTGCTGCCCCCGAGACCACCACCAACCCTGACCCCGTCGCCGCCTAGACCAGCGCCCACCTCCATCGCTCCTTAATTCATCCCTCTGCCAGCTAGACCAGCCGCCATTGTGGCCATGGTAACGGACTAGCAGTTGCTCCGCGGCATCCGCACCCACGGCCTCCACTGCCTCCTCCCCCGCACCGTCTCCGCCTTCGTTCATCCTCGTCACCGTTGCTTTATGCCCTTATCGCCATCACCGTCCCACCCTCCCTCCGTCACGTGTCACCCCACAGAGCGGCGACGTGGAGGAAGCTAGGGACGAGCAGCTGATGCACCAGGGAATGCCGCGGTGGTGACACGGAGGGTGGCCATCTCGAGGCACCCTTCCCTTCCCCTTCATCCTCTCTGCCATCGCCGGCAGCTGCTCCTAGGCTCCCAGCTCCTCCCGGTTCTGCTGGCTGCTGCTCTCGGCCGAGGAAGTGGCCGCAGCGTGGAGAAAGGGGGAGCGGCAGCGGTGTGGAGGGAGTGGAGAGAAGAAGAAGAGAAGAATAGAGAGGATGGGTGAAGAAGGGTGGGAAGGTCAACATATGGGACCCATTGTCACAGACTTAGAGGATGTTGAAGTGAGTAATGAATTTGACTTGACAAATTAGATGAAGAGTTGGCTATATGAGTGTTTAAAAAGTCTAATTCGTATAATTTGGATAGTATGTTGGAGATACTCATAGGACTCACCAACATAGGTGTGTCTCTGTATGTGCGTGAGTGTGTTTGCTTCTGACTTGTACAAGAAAAAAAAAAGTAGGATTTGTCAAAAAGAATTTAATTGGAATGAGAAACTTGTGCAAGCGTGTTGGTGCATCTTCCATTTAATTGAAATAAAAACAGTTTACCATAAAAAATGAACATTTTCCACGCCATTACTTTCTATATAGAAATTAAATCAGTCTCTTTCTATAGCGGTTCATGTGTCAATTTTCTTTCTGTGCGATTGCGATGTGGCTACAAATGGGACACTCGATTTTATGGTGAAAAATTAGATGCTCTCCCCTACTACATTGTTGCATTTTTGGCTAGTGCAAGAGGTGTCTATCCATACGCATGCAAAGCTACACACTTTATATCTCATTTCCATATATTTTATTTTAGCCTCCTTCTCGTATCTTTAAACTATTTTTTTCATAAATTATTTATCATATAAACGATCTGATCGTACCGTTGTATTTGTTATAATTAAATATTTACAGCAAGATCTCACACGATTATATTTTAATAAAAAAATAATATGATTTGTGCTAGAAAAGAAAACTAGAAAAAGAGGAGGATGACAAAGAAAATTTACCTCAGTAACGGCGCTTGGAAACCTGAGGAGTTGAACCAAATTAACAATCACACATGCAGCAGCAATTAAAATTAAATTAGCGGTTCATCAGTCCATAATCATCATTATGGAATGAAGAAATGGAAGTAGTGATAACTGATCAGTGCTTAATTAATTAGCTAGCTCAGGCAATCATATGTGCGTACTAACCGTAGACGTCGGAGGCGAGGACGACGGCCCGGTCGGAGTGGGCGGCGCCGGTGACGTAGGCCTCGTAGCCCGCCAGGTCGTGGACTACCACGCCGGCCTCGCCGCCGCCGGCGGCCTTCATGTCCGGCGGGTGCTCAAAGCACTGCAAGCGCGGCGGAGCAGCCGCGGCGGCGGCGCCGGCCGCCGCGGCGAGCGCGGCGAGGCAGAGGATCAGGAGGCTCAACGAAGCAGTTGCCATATGGTTAATTTGCATACTGATGAGTGAGAGATGATGCTTGGGCTTTTGTACATGCCTTTAACCGGTAGAGTCAGCTGCACGCTGCAATCCTGCGCCCCTTTTTTCTTGTAAAAAAAACAAAGTGAAACTATTACACTTTGTATTACGTATAATATAAACTATTACACTTTATATTATAATTGGTTTGATTTTTTTTAATCAAACTTCTTTTAACTTTGACCGAGTTCGTAGAAAAAAATAGTAACATTTTCAATACAAAACAAATATTGTAGCAATGTACATGCTGCTAATTTTTACTATAAACTTAATCAAATTTAAAGAATTTTAACCAAGAAAAAAGTCAAACAACTTATAATATGAAATGGGGGAGTACTCCCTAACTATTTGTCATTGTCATCTCCAATTATTTGTCATGCTGTCCTTTCGAATTATTTCTAGTTGTCGTTTCAGCGTGGTCCAATTTGATGTTTGGAGCGTAGTGAGTTGAACCACATTCGGATCAATTCTACGTGTCCCAAGCTCAAGAAATCTATCAAGGAGGATGAGAAAGATAACAAGGACAACAACGGCTTATCTTTTGAAGATAAAAGGAAGAACCACAAGTGCAAACTTGTGCGTCAAAAGCTTTCAAAGCAAGTCGAGTTTAGCGATGAAGGATAATCGGAAAGCGAGGATGATAAGAAAGCACATACCAAAAGTAAGGTTTTGTGAGTTTATGTCTTATAGTAAAATGCTTGTGCGTTACAACGGGAAAATCTACCCACTCAAAATTGTGGCACCTTACACATGTATTCCAGTGAATAGTGACAATGACTCATGACCTCATGTAGATTGTTATCTTGTCACGCTCGCTCCATACAAAATGGCGGTATCGAATCATATGTGTTGAAATCGCATAAATATTGGGGAAAATGATAAAGAAAATAATATCATAAATAATGAGTAACCAAATGTAATATTATTTTCTTATTGCCCAAAAATTTTAGACCATTTAAACATTTTGGTGATGGTGCTCAATTGAAAAATGAAATGAATTCATGCGTTACAGAAACGAATTCTCACTTTCGATCAGTAAGAAAAAGGTTAATACCAGCATTGAATTAGCAAAGGATACCATAGTTTACCTCGAACCATGACAATGTCCAAAAGTTAATGTTTGATATAAAAAGAAACTGACAAACATCAAGCATGTTTTTTAATCATCGGGAAAAAAACCTGTTCTATTTTTTTTATATAGCTTTAGCTTCTCAAGGTCACACAGTATTTATCCTAAGTCCCCACCACTGTACACGAACAAAAATTACAGGCTTTGTCAAAATGAATTGAACGAAACCTTGTGGAGGTTTGTGCGCTTGTGCATCTTCCATTTAATTGAAAAAAAAGTGTGCCACTCTATTATTTTCTAGAAATTTAATCAGTATCCTAGCTTCCATAGCATGTTCATGCGTCAATTTCTTTTCCCTACGGTTATTGACAGCAATTTACTCAGTTTAATTTTCTAGAGAAAAGGGAAACTGGAAAGAGAGGAGGATGACGGCGGAAAAACAAAAGTTATACCTCAGTAACGGCGCTTTGAATCTAGATTAATCACGGTATGTCACATCAGCATTTGTAAGAGTTCTGTAAGAAAAAAAAGTATAGCTTTTACTTTTTATCTCAAAAACCAAAGTGAAATTATTACGCCATTGGGATGGCGTGTTTATTATATATGTTAGTCTTACTTGAGTTTCTTTAAGTCAAGATATAGTTGTGTAAGGTCTTTTGCTACTCTGATTTCTTTTTGTAGTGTGTGTCTGAGTGTGTTTTTTGGTTGATTGTACATTTTGGTGTCGAACATATAGATGCTTTTATTTGCTTAATGAAAACCTCAGATATCTAAAATAAATAAAATAAAACAACGCCTTCACCTCCAACTTTCTAAGCTCCAACTGCAGAAGTCCCCTCTTTCAGCTTGCATTTGTTCCAACGTTCAAATTTGAAGATTAGTTTTAACTTTGAACTTGAGAATACATGCATGTGCGTTGGGTTGAATTCCCACCGCTGAATTTGAAGATCAATTCAGCAGTTAATACATCGACAAGCTCAATTCAGAGAAAATCATAGCCAATTAATCACATTGACATGGCTGGTTATACTTATACATGGACACCGGCAATTTATTTAGATGAAAATGAATAAGTGCGATTTTCTGCATTTTCACAAATAACTATCTATATTGTCATTTTTTTAATAGAATATCTATATTGTCATTTCAAGTATTTCTCAAACCAGTCAAGCATTAAGGCAAGAGCCTGTTCAGCAGTATTGACAGCAAACTGGTTGCTGGCGTTATATCTGCAAGCAAAGCCATGAGACACGCCTGGAAAGATCCTGGCAAAGTAATCAACCTGCAACAAAGATGCAATCCATTAGAGGCACTTTTTAATTTGCTTCTTTTCTTAAACATTATTGAGTGGTTGTGTTGAAGAAAAAATTAGGGTCTTCTTGCAAATATAGAACAAGTCAAGAAGATATAGGATATTTTCCGAATTTATGGCCATGTACATGTATGGAACTTTAATTGCAATGTACTAGTGTTTAGACTTTAGTTATTGTAAATTTCCCAAATGTTCTTCTCAAAAACAACTTTCCAAATGTTGACTTCCAATTAGTGCCGGCATGATCTTTTAATATCTCATCATCACTGGGAGATTTATCTCTTCTCTGTTTACTGTTTCTTTTTTTTTCTTGGGGAGGGGGGGTGAATAAACTCTGTTTCAGTTATTCTTGTGCTTTCTATTTTGTAATTTTTTTTTACAAAATTTAAAGATCATTTGGCATCAAGTGCCAATGAAACCCAACAGCAACTCACCTCAGTTGTTCTCAAAAAAAAAAAAACTCACCTCAGTTGTTTGACGCAACACATTCACAAACTGGTCCACCAAACTTGGTGGTGTTATAGGGTCATTCTGACCTCCAAGGATTTCAATGGGGCATTTGACACCTGCGTTCAATGTGAATTTAGTAAACAAAACAGAGGCTTCTTGGATACAACTTACATAAAATGACTAGATAATTCATGTATATGTAGTGCAACCAATTAAGCATCAAATCAAAACAAGTTAAGTTCACCTTTCATATCATCAGCAATCACCTCTGAAGGATGAGAGATGACAATCGCTTCAACTTCATTGGTTTTGGCCACCTCCACAGCAAACTTTGCTGCCAGTTGAACTTGTGCTGAGACTATAATATGAACTAAATCTAGCTGTGCAATCTAATTAACTAGGAATTTACGAAAAAAATTATAGTGCAATCCTAATGTACTGGTGTATGATATGTAAAGACATTTTTCTTTTGCTGGTTAGTTTCGCTTACCACCCCAACAATAACCTCCAATTCCAATAACAGATTTGCCTTCCCTTTTTAGAGCAGCAAAAATTGATTTAGCATCTTCAGCTGCTTTTACCTGAAATTCAAATTGAATATACTGATCAATATCCATTAATTAACTCCACAATAAGCATCATCTAGAAAAGGTTTTTTTAATGCAACTATGATCATTATTACTTGGCGTTTTGAAACGAACCATGTGAGATTTCATATTGATATAGCATTAAAAAATTACAAGACCATAGCCCTAAAAAGTTATAAATAGAGGAAAAAAAGAAACAACAGTCACACCACGTGTCTACAAGATGTAAACTTCCTCCTGTTTGGATCCCCTTAAGCTATTTTGGGGCTAAAAGGGGTGGGCTAAAAAATATCTCTAGGATCCAAACACCCCCTATGTAAACGGTGAAACAAATTACCGGAGAGTGAAGCGTGATCCATTTTGTAACGTTTATACTTGGGTCTCCATTGTAAGGTTGTCCATGGAAGAAATCAGGTACCACAACGTAATACCCAGCTTCACCAACTTTGTCAGCATTGTCCCTGTAATTGTCATTGTCAGCATCAGTAACCACACATCAGCTTGTAAATTGTTTTTGGAATCTAGAATGGGAATAAAAGTAGAATTTGTATGAGATAAATTTAGCTGGGATGTCGTACTATTTGAAGCTCAAGGAAGCACTTAAAACTGGAACGTAAAACATAAATTTTAGTAAAATCCACATGAAGAAATCACGGGTTTGTCGTTGTATTGTTGGAATTCAAGATATTTCTACAGAAAGTGGAACACTGAAATTGGATCATTCTCAGTCCTTCATTGAGTTCCAACTACGTTTGTCCTAAGGACAAAATCTGATGGCTTTTTACTTGTAAAACTGGCAGAATTTTTATTTATTTCAGTATAATGCATAGACTTTACACTTTTTTGCCCAAAAAAAAAAGAGTTCCGACTGCGTTTGTCCTAAGGACAAAATCTGATGGCTTTTTACTTGTAAAGCTGTCAGAATTTTTATTTATTTCAGTATAATGCATAGACTTTACACATTTTTTGCCCAAAAAAAAGAGTTCCGACTACGTTTGTCCTAAGGACAAAATCTGATGGCTAAGGACAAAATCTGATGGCTTTTTACTTGTAAAACTGTCAGAATTTTTATTTATTTCAGTATAATGCATAGACTTTACACATAGGTATAATATTATTGGCATGTACAGTATTTTCAATAATTTTCACTGTATTTGTCACTTGATATATATGCACGATGTGTGGACATGAATTTTTCCATTAAAATGATATATATATTTAAACCCGCTTGACATATTTATATCATTAGCGGGAGGATAGAATATGGAAAAATTGCAAAATGAGTATATATTCTTCTGATTCTCCATGCATTGGTAACTACTCCATCCATTTCAAATTATAAATTATTTTAGGTTTGTTATAGGTCAAACCTCTCTAAGTTCGACCAAATTTATAGAAAAATTAATATATTGAACGATAGTTGTTGAATGAAATTAATTTGATGTTGTAGATGTTTCTATATTTTTTATAAACTTATCAAACTTGACGATATTTGACTTAGGTCAAACCCAAAGTGGCCTATAATATGAAGGGAGGGAATAGTTTAAAACCATGATTAGTCCCAAAAAGATCAGGAAATTAAACTATTTGAAATGAAAGATGAGCATTGTCTAATATTATTTGTTGAAACACTGATGATGGCCTCATGGGTGATGAGAACTATTATTCACGCATGTCACTGCAGAAAGATAGGGATAATTGAGTAAAAATGACAATATCACCTTTTAAGTCATACAATTATTTGTCATGTTTACTCTGTTTATTTTCCCTCGAATTCAGTCTCTTTCTAGAGTTGTTCAGGTGTTAATTTCTTTCACTAAATTTGTGGAGAAAATGAAGAAAATTGCGGAGAAAGATGACAGACAACGACGACAAAGAGAGGAGGAGGAGGTTAACGAAATGAGATAATCCCTTATATGCCACTGAAAATTGGTCTGATCCCTTATATGCCACTGAAAATTGGCTCTTCCCTTATATGCCATTGGTCCAAATTTGTGCACCCTCTCATGCCACTACCGTCAGTTGACCGTTAACTCTCAAGTAAAAAAGACATATTTGCCCTCTCTGAGTTGTTAGGCATGCCCTATATTTAGAAGGGTAAATACGTCTTTTTTCCTTGAGAATTAACGGTCAACACACGGTCAACTAACGGGAGTGACATGAGAGGGTGTGCAAATTTGTATCAATGGCATATAAGGGAAGAGCCAATTTTCAATGGCATATAAGGGTTCAGACCAATTTTCAGTGGCATATAAAGGATTCTCTCTAAAGAAATTGACGAATACTGTACCTCAGCAATGGTGCTTCGAATCCTGAAGAAACCAAATTAACAGCGACAACAGCTGATCACTCGATAATCAGTTGATAATCACTACTAACCATAGATGTCGGAGGCCAGGATGATGGCCCGGCCGGAGTGGACGTCGCCGGTGACATAGGCCGGGAAGCCTGCCAGGTCATCGATGACCACGCCGGCCTCACCGTCGCCGTCGGCCGTCAGCTCCGGCGGGTTGTCGAGGCACGGCAAGCGCAGCGAATCGGCAGAGGTGGCAGCGCCGCCGCCGCCGCCGCCGGCCACGGCGAGGCAGAGGATGCTCCAGCAGAGCAGCAACGAAGACGGCGCCATGGTAATTAATTAGCTCTACTGATCATAGTTGCTGAAGCAGCTTTTGTACATGGATTTAGACGGTAGTAGGTAGCAAAAGGAGACGCACCTATGACATGTTTAGTGTCGCATCGACGTTCCAATCCTACGTCCTTAACCAGGAATGAAATAAATAGGTGACTTGGAAGTTTTCAACTTGAATTTGAAAGTTAAAACTTAGAATCTAAAGTTTTAAAATCTATACATAATTATTTTTTTAAAATTTTCGAGTTGAAAGATTTGAATGTTTAAATTAGATACAAACTTGGTATACGTGTATATATTTTTTATACATCAAAAGTATATACATATGAAAAATTTATATTATATGTACGTACGTATATACTTTACATACATACGTATAAACTTTTTATATGTGTATATAAAGTTGAGATAATCTATTCTATGCTACTGAGTTTATCCCAGTTCAACGATTTACCACTGTCATTATCTCTTTCTACTATATACTGATGACTTTATCAATTATGATGGGCCTCTTTTTTAAAAAATACCCAAAATACCTTAGAGACATACATGGTTAACAATCAATTTATCTCATTAGAAAGTTTCAAAAAATATGAAATTTTTTATATGGCCTCTTTACACAACAAAGAAGTATGTACATAAGTTTTAGTTTTTTTATTTTTTAAAAATATATTTTTGTGTGTATATCAGAGAAAATATTTTTGTGTGTATATCATAGAGAAATAGCTTACACGAAAGATAATAGCAAAAAATATCTTATGTTGCATATGAAAGATAATTTATATTAAAAACAACAACACAAAAAATATTTTATATAGCATATAACAAATAAGTTATATTTTTAAAAAATAGAAATGAAAAAAATTAAAACTTATATACAAACTTTTATACTGTGTAAGGAGGCCAAATAAAAGTTTTCATATTTTTTTTTGAAACTTGATATAAATCAACCGTTAACCTTATATGTCCATAAGGGTATTTTAGGTAGACACCAAATCAGTCGAAACCGTCATTTAAATAACTATGACACTCGATTTCCACTTGTTTTGATAGTTGACGGATGCAATATAGTACCTCTTTGTGGTTGAAGGATGCGAGTGAAACTCAAAAAACGAAACAAGATAAATCAGCCCAGTAGCAAACTGGGCCTGGGAAAGCTTCCGCTCGAGCCCCACGTGCGTCGTCAGAAGGATGGCCCCACGTGCGTCGTCAGAAGGATGGACTCATCGTGGACTCATGGCCCAGCATCCTGCATTTGCCTGAGTCGATGGGTGTCGATGGGTCATCCTCCTCCTCCCCTTCTCGGCTTCTCGCTCGCTCCCGACCTCTCTCCACTCTCCGCGACGCCGCCGCTTCCCCAAGACCGGCGGCGAGCAGCCAGCTGGTGATGCTGCCGGAGAATCTGGATCCGGCCGTCAGCGGCGACGGCGACGGCGACGGCCGGGCGGCGGGAAACTTCACCAGCACGGCCAGTTCGACGGCGCCCTCGACGTGGAGTGGAGAGCAGGTATGCCACGCACCTCTACTCCTAGCCCTAGGTTGCTCTGCGCGCTGTTCTTTGGCTCCGACTGAATCCATCCGGTAATGAGTTTTGTACCATATCGCCCATTCTGAGACAACACGACCTGTTTATTAGCTCGATTTGATTCTATTCCATCGCCACCCCAGGGACACCCACCCCGACTGCAATGGGCAGCGGTAGGGCGTGTATCCGCCCTACCGTTTCAGCTGCAAAAAAAAAATGCAGTGAAAAGATCCCCTACTGAGGCACGGCAGGCGACCCCCTGCCGGCCAGCTGAAAAAAAAGAAAAAGAAATGGAGCAGTGAAAAGATCCCCACGGCAGGCGACCCCCTGCCGAAAAGATGCCCTATTGTCGCGACCGGGAAAATTGCCTTTTCCCGAACGCTAGTGTATTAATCCCCGTCCCAGGAAAAGCCGGGGTACACCAAACAAACATGATACAAAAGGCACATCTTTATTATATCGATAATATTTACATTATTACAAAGGCGCTTCAGGCCTGACAATCAAAAATAAACAGCAGCGGACTAGCGGGCCTACGGCTCCATCTTCACAGGCGCTCAACTGGGGTATAAGCCAGGACTCCACCTAAGACATCTTCTCCAAAGCTTCTCTTACTGAAGAGGGGAAAGATTGAGCAAGAATGAGTACAACCACAGTACTCAGCAAGCCACACCGGAGATGCATAATTAATGCAAGGGAGTACAAGGGGATAATAATATACGGGTTAAGTTTTGCAGTAAACAGCATTTAAAAGTCACTTAGTTGCCCAAAGCCATTTTATAAAGACGATCCTAGAGCTACACAGTATTATTAAACAAGGCCGTGAACCCACACGAACCTGCCTTAACCCAAGGCCTACGATGATTCAGACCGAACTGGCAACCCGACCCTGGGTCCCAGCTCGTCCCAAGCCAACCTAGGCCAACCATTCCACATTTTAGTTGTTGACCAAATTTTAAGAATTATAACACTGACTTGGGTACATTGCTCGGCTTGCCCATAACCGAGGGCGCGGCTATTCGAATAGATTATACTCTGATCAGAGGTGTACATCTTTACCCACAAGACACATCTTCCTCACGTGCAACCACGTGCCACATACCACCACGGTATACAGACGGAAGACGTGACATAGTTTCCAACCCATCCTAGCCATAGACAAGAGTACCGACCCAATCCCACCTACGGCCGGAACCTTCGGGACAGGCAGGCAGGACTGAGCCCCTAGCAGCAGGGCACCAACCCTGTGCCATGACATCTCGACTACCGGGCCGCAGCTCGTGTAGCCTTCATTTGTCCTAGAGAATGTCCATCGACCCCCGACTTCATCCATCTCCATCCGTGTACTTTTGTTTATGACCAGACTGAGCCACAAACTAAGCCTTACCCACTAGACATGTGGAAGTACGGTAGTGCTTTGCAACAGAGGCCCGAGCTTAATCCTTATAGTGGCCGGGGTGCTACTTCCCACAACTGGCATGCACCCAAACCCCACCGAAAACAGGTTTTAGGGGTTTTGAAAGAGGAAGAGAGGTGTATGTCCAATTCCACCATAAACCAACAATTCCATAGTGTCCAAATGATATGAGAATTCCCAAAGTCTAAAGTTATAAAACCACCTAATATTGCCTAATTAATCAGCGAAGCATCTACCTAAATTCATACTAGTGGAACCATGAATAGAATACCCACTAGTTGGGGTTTTGTTTATCCTAGGGTGAACAAGGTAATAATATCAATAACAATAATATTAAGGTTATAACAAAGGTAAATAGGCATGGCTAAATAAAACAGTGATCACGCGGGAATTTAAATAAAGCGATAATGCAATAATTTAAATCAAAATAATTTTATAAACTGGGATTCAACATGTTCAAGGATGATGTGACTTGCCTTTCTCAGAGAGAACGGCCTTCCGAACCTTCGGCGACGACCACGAACCACGCTTCTGGAACCTCCGGAACGACAGAAGCTACGCGAAGCACACAAGCAAAGCTACAAGCCTATAAAGAAGCAATAACAATACATAAAAAGAAAGCACATGGTTCTTTAGGTTATAACAAACATTAAGAGACTTGAACGGGTCGATTCGGAGCTCGTATGACCAAGATATGATCATCCGAAGTTTAATGCTGTTGTATGGAGATTTGCGGATTATTATAATTAAGCTTTGCAACTATAAAACATGTGTAAACGCTAGCCTGGAAAAGACAGGAAGGCTGCGCCGTTGACATGCGGACCCCACATGTCAACCTAAAGGACCGCGGTAGACCGGGTACACAGAGACGGTCCACGGGTCAACGGAGGCGGACCCCGTGTGTCAACCGAGGCGAGTGGCCGACAAACGGACTCCACTAGACACCACACGGCCTGCACACGTGGAAACCACGCGGCTACCGAGCGGGCACACTAACGCGGACACTACACGGTCACCACCCGCACGCGTGAACGACTACCGACACCGGTACACGGGTACCGGGGCCGACAACCGCACAACGAGCACGGGCGACACCGAAAGGACGAGGACGGGGCAGCGAGGGAGAGGGAACCTTACCACCACGCGACGAGGCGTGGGAACGACAACGACGAACGGGCGCGGCGGAGACGGACGGCGAGGGAACGACTTCGGCGGCGATCCTTGAACGAAGGCGAGACACGGCCGGCACGAGGCTTGACGACGCGGAGCCGAGGACGAAGACGATGATGGGGCTGCGGCGGCTCGCTTGACGAACGCGGACGACGGACGAGAACGGCTCGACGGAGGGACGAACGCCACAACGACCGGGAACGACGAGAGGACGACGACGACGACGACCGGGGCCGGCGAGGAGGCGATGAGGGCAGCCGGCAGTGGCTGCACGGAGACGAGGACGACGTGGGACACGCCGCTGCGATGACGATGACGGAGGCGGCGCCGCGAGACGACGAGCCGGGCGACCGACGGGACGTCGACGACGAGAACGATCGGAGACGACGATGATGGACCGCGGAGGGGTTTGGATGGAGGGGAAACAATGCCGAGGATGGCTTTGCCGCTGCGATGCCGGAGGTGGTGGAGGTGTGGCCGACCGGTGCACGGGCGAGGAGGGACGGGCGGCCGAACAACTCCGGCGAGGCAGATGGAGAGGTTCGCGGCGATGTGCGGCGGCTTCCGGGCGAAACCGAGGGGTGGACGAGGTGGAGGGCTACGTCACCGTGCCGAGGGAGGGGACGGCAGCGCCGGCTGACGCACGGGCATGGCGAAAAGGGCAGCCGGAGGAGATGCCGCTGAGGAGGAAGGAGAAGCCGGCGCGGGCGACGGTGTTCCGGCGAAATTCGGGTGAGGAGGAGGTGATGCCGGGGATGAGGGCGGCGTCGCGGAGCCGAGGGAGGTGGTGGCGACGTCGGCCGGCGCACGGGAAACGCGACAGTGGCGGCCGGAGGTGGAACAGTGGCGGCAACACCACTGTTTTGCCGGCGAGGACGCGTCTCCGGTGCTTCCCCCGCGAAACGGAGGGCTGACCGAGGGAGAGGAGGTGGCTGCGAGGCCGAGGGAGAAGACGGCGCGGCCGGACGGCGCTCCGGCGAGGAGGGAGAGGCGGCTGGAGGCGGCCGGCGCGGAGGAAAGAGAAGGGCGACGGCGGGAACGCGCCTCCGGCGGTCACCGCGCGAAACGGAGGGCAGGCCGGGGTGGAGGAGGTGGCGGCGACGCTGGAGGAGGCGACGGCGCGACCGGGCGGCGCTCAGGCAAGGCGGTAGGGGCGGCTGGAGGCGTCCAGCGGCACGGGAGAGAGAGGGCGACGGCGGGGAGGGGTGCTGCGGCCACGGGGGAGCTCGAGAAAGGGCTAAAACAATAGAACGCAAAGAGGGGGTTCCATTTTATAGGATGGGGGCGGGAGCCGGGCTCGGGAGGGGGCGGAACGGCGACGGGAATGGCGGCCGGCGGCCATGGTTGGTGGCCGGGAAAAGCGCGACCGTTCCCGACGATTGGGGGCGCCATTCAAGGGGGAAATTGGGGGGAATTGAAGAGGATTCAATGGGGTTTAATTTCCCCTATTTAATTTTGGAATCCCCGGTTTGAATGAGGCGGATTTGGAGGAGGAACGGAGCTAGGGTTCACGGGAGAGAGAGGAGGACGGCCGGCGCGGGAGGAGGAAGATGACCGGCCTGGCGCGTGGGCCCCACGCGGCCAGGCGCGCGCTCAGCGCGCGTGCGACGCGCGTGACAGGCGCGTGCGGCGCGGCTTGGGGGGGCTCGGCTGGGCCGGGACACGGCCCAGATGGGAGGGGGCAGGGCGGCCTGGGCCGGGCAGGCCGGGAGGGGAGGGAGGAACGGCCCGAGAGAGAGAGGGAGGAGGGAGTGGGCCGGGAGGGGAGGAGAGGAGGCCCAAGAGAAGGAGGGAGAGGAGGAGAGGGAGAGGAAGAGAGGGAGGAAAGGGAGACTTCGGCCGCGGGCCGAGGGGAGAGAGGGAGGACTTTGGGCCAAAATTGGCCCAAAAGAAAAGGAGGATTATTTTTAGATTTTCTTTTTATTAAACTTTGATAATTGTTTTTGTTGTTTAATAATTATTTCCGGTGCTCTGAAAATTCAAGTAAAATTTGAGGGCTCCTTTTTAGACCAAGAAGAATTTAACAAAAATTCTCCGAGCCACATTCGAATTTTTCTTGTACGTATTTTAATGTTTGCCAATTTCTTTTCGAATTTTAATTAATTCTATTATTCCTTTTAGAAAATGATTTTTATTTCGGGATGAATTTATCAGGACGTGACACCTATAGGCACACAGTCGGGTCTCTCGGTGGAGGCAGCGCTAGACACTAGCGCTTGGCTTTTTGAAATTTCTAACATTAGATTTTTTTTTCTCTGTTGAACTCATTGCTTAATCTGAGAGAAGCTTAATTTCTTAAAAGGAAAATTAATCTTATAAGAAACACCCAACTAGACATTAAGATATGGTAGCAGAGGAGATACATTAATGTTTTGATATGCCCTTATTGCTAGCAATGTCGCCGTAAGACGCAAAATTTCTAACCTCATTGCCAAGTTTTGACTGGATGCCAGTGATATGCCCTTATTGCTACAATGTCGCGCAAAATTTCTAACCTCATTGCCAAGTTTTGACTGGATGCCAGTGATATGCCCTTATTGCTACAATGTCGCCGTACGATGCAAAATTTCTAACCTCATTGCCAAGTTTTGATTGGATGCCAGTGAGAGATGATCTGGTAGATGAATAATTTTCTATCATACTCTACCGATACTATTGTTAGCATGGTAACGCTTTGTCATTTAATGTAGTTTTGTTTTTAATGGTAATTCTACTCTACTTAACAAATTAAATTCTCTGTGGATTAGGCTAGTGAACGTGCATAGAGAATTCGGCAAGCTAGAGATATGACAGTATATAGACTGATTATAAGTGGAATGCTAGAGGAGTAAGTCTATATCATTGGCAAATACACGAGCATTTTCTGAAATACAAAGTACTGAAAGGCACTCACCAGAGGAGTTCTTTTAAAGCCAGCAACATGATGAATTTATTCACGCTGCAAGACTATGACAGTAAAGGTTTGATTTAAACATCCAATATTTTCAGCCAATTTTCTGAAGATTTGAATACCAAGCATCCTAATGACTAGCAACAAGATTAGTTATAACCTCCGGGACAGGACCAAATTCATCCAGGAATTCAAAGGGTAAAATATACCATAGCTCTGCCCAAGTGCATGAAGAATCCAGCATTTTGAAGGGTCTTTATGATGCTCAGGGATTCATGTAAGCAATAATTTGTTATCCCTATGGCAAATGGTTTTCCTCAACATTTTGTTTCTAAAATATATTTTAATTTTCTCAGAGTGCGATCAATCATGAATGCCAACGACGACCAGAAGCTGCACCTAGAGACAGAAGCTTCACACGCCAACCTTGGATGCTTGGAAGTTGTGATAGTTTTTCTGCACCTACATGAACTGGAAGAGCTGCCCCTCGACCCTTGTCAAAAGCTTAAGGCAACATGAATCTCCCTTGACCTCCTCGATGGAACCCAACCAAGGGGTGGCACTGGATGTGGCGGCGCACATATATAGGATGAGGTGGAGATATGCTCATGTGAAGATGCCATCCCCACGATCCGGCGGAGGCAGGATACACAGCTCTGGCCAGATCTACAGCAACCTCGCCACTGGCTTCCGGTGAGACCAGATATGCCTAACTCCCTGGAGGACATTAAATCTTAGCTTTTTTTCAAACAAAAAAAGTTTTTTTAACTGTTCAACCTGGCTGGATGATTTGTCATCTTTTGCCTGTTGACTTAGGACAATAGGAGATGAAATACTGGGAATGTTTTCTGTGTTTTGCACGCAAATGGTTCATCACCCATCCATTTTGGTTGGAATCAGAATTCCTTGTTTCCTCTACAGCTTCAGGAGAAGTCCCCATCCTATTTAAGGGCTAGCAATTTCTTGGAAGCACGACTTTCATCTGTCTAATTTGTGGCCATAAGAAACAGTCAAGAGGTACCCAATATATGCTGTGCTTAAGATGAGTAGCATACAACATTTGATTGAACATATCGACTAGTTAAAATGGCAACAGAGGCACACATTATTTTTGTTCTCCTACAAAAAGATGTTTTAATATGCCATGCTAATGGTCGCTTCGGAACAAAAAGAGTTTGCATTTTGCACTTCATAAAGTACACTTTGTTTCACTTCGCACCATATTCAACACATACTTTCACTTTACACTAGTGCTTATTTATATAAGTTTCACTTAACACCAGGATATACATGGACACTAGCAATGTATTTTGATGGAAATAAACAATTGCACTGGCCTTGCATTGCATGCATGATTAGCTAATGTCATTTCAAGTGTTTCTCAAACCAGTCAAGCATTAAGGCAAGAGATTGTTCAGCAGTTCTGACAGCAAACGGGTTGCTGGCGTTATATCTGCAAGCAAAGCCATGAGCCACTCCTGGAAAGATCCTGGCAAAGTAATCAACCTGCAACAAAGATGCAATCCATAAGAGCCTCTTCATAACTTGTTTCTTTTCTTAAAGATCATTGAGTGGTTGTGTTTAAGAAACAATTGTAAACTTGTTTATTGACATTGTGCTAGTGTTTGGACTTTTCATTAATGTTACTAATTAGCTAGATCCAGTATTGCCTCAAAAAGAAAAATAGAGCCAGCATGATCTTTCAATTTCTCATCATCAGTGGGAGATTTTTCTCGTGTGTGTCTACCGTGGGACTATGCTGATGCATTTGGCATCAAGTGCCAATGAAAATCAACAGGAACTCACCTCAGGTCTTTGGCGCAAGGCATTCACAAACTGGTACACTAATCTTGGTGGTGTTACAGCGTCATTCTCAGCTCCAAGGATTTCAATGGGGCATTTGACATCTGTGTCAAGGTCATTTTGGAATAAGAAAAACAGGGACTACTAGGATACAGCGTACATGAATCAGTTAACTATATATTCATCTATATACTGCGCAACAATAGCACCAAAACAGATAAGTTCACCTTTCATATCATCAGCAGTCACCGATGAAGGATGGGAGATGACAATCGCTCCAACCTCATTGGTTTTCGCAACCTCGACAGCTAACTTTCCTGTCAATTGAAGTTTTGTTGTTTAGACTATAATAGTATGAATTAAGTCTAGATATGGAAATTAACTAGGAATTTACAAAGTTTTTTAGAGTGTATGTATTACTAATGTACTGATGTAGGATATGTAAAGACATTTTCTTTTTGCTGATCGATTTTGCTTACCGCCCCAACAATAACCTCCAACTCCAACAACAGATTTCCCTTCTCTTTTTAGAGCAGCAAAGATCGGTTTAGAATCTTCAGCTGCCTTCACCTGAAATTTCAATTGAATATACTGATCAATATCAATTGACTCCTCGATAATCGTCGTCGAATAAGCTATGTAATTGGTGAAAACAATTACCGGAGAGTGAGCCATGATCCATTGTGTAATGTTTATACTTGGGTCTCCATTGTAAGGTCGCCCTTGGAAGAAATCTGGCACCACGACGTAATATCCCGCTTCACCAACTTTGTCAGCTATTTTCCTGTAATTGTCAGCATTATTAACCACAAATTTGATTTTAAGTTGTCTTTGCAATCTAGAATGGGAGTAAAAATGTAAGGTGTATTGAAAGGAATCCAGTTGGGACGTTTTACAATACTTTCAAGCTAAAGGAAGCACTTAAAATTGGAATCAAAAACAGAAACCTTAGTACAATCCACATGAAGAAATCATTGCTGTTATACCATTGGAATCCACGATATTTTTACAGAAAAACTGAATTTCTGAAATTGGATCGTTGCTTGGTTATCCATTCATAAATCAGCTTTACAAGGACAGCAATGAGATATTACTATTGACTATTGAGTTACGACAGCGTTTGCCCCTAAAGAAATGATGTTTTAGAAAGCATGTAATGAACATAGTTATGCACAGTAATACAGTATACAATGATAGTACTACTCCTTTTGTTTCAAATTAATTATTGTTATAACTTTGTCCCAAGTCAAATATTTCTATTTTAGCCTATTAATAACTAGCAATTTGTATAATTTAAATACATGTGGATTGCATATTTGGAAGTATTTCTTATTGTGAATCAAAAAACATATTAAAACTTATGTCATTAAAATATACATTTTTTTTAAAAAAAATGATTGTTAAAGTTAGAAATTGTTGACTTAGGATAAAACTAGAACTACAAATAATTTGTAATGGAAGGAGTAGTAGATTTATCTTCAACTTTGTAGGGATACAGAAGATGAAAGTTTTAGCATATATGTTGTCTAAGTAGAGTAGTTAAAATAATGAAATTGCACATTGATAGTAAATGATGTATTTCAACCGCTTAACATATTTATATCATTAGAAGGTCAGAATATGGAAAATAGCAAAAATGAGTATACGCTTCTGATTCTCCGTATGAATTGATGGTTACTCCAAAAAAAAAAAAGATACTAACTACTCCCTCCGTTTATTTGACGCCGTTAAATTTTTTAAATATGTTTAATCGTTCGTCTTATTCAAAAAAATTAAGTAATTATTAATTATTGTCTTATCATTTGATTCATTGTTAAATATACTTACATGTATACATATAGTTTTACATATTTCATAAAAGTTTTTTTGAATAAGACAAACGGTTAAGCATGTGCTAAAAAGTCAACGGTGTCAAATATTTAGAAACGGAGGGAGTATTTGAAACGGAAGAAACATGTACATAGCAATGTTGAATATTCTTTGTTCAAGCTCATGGATGGTGAGGGCGAATGGACGATTATTTGCTTTTGCACCTTTTGGTGTCTAAAGTCTAAACCTGTTATCCTTCTCACAAAAGTCACTGCAGAAAGATAGGAGATAGTTCACTAAAAATGACCTGAACCCATTGTCACAAGAAAAACAGGTATGGTACACAATTAAGCCATGTCTGTCTTTTTCTTTTTTTTAAATCAGTCTCTTTCCAGAGTTGTTCAAGTGTCAAGTATTTGTCATGCCCTGTTCTCTTTAGATTTTCCCCCGGATAATTGCTACAGATTATTTGGTCCATGCTTTAAAAAATATTATTTATTCTACTGCATTATTAGATATTTGCAAAGTTCATTTTTCAAAATATTAATTTGTTATGTTAATAAAATAAACAATCTGCGCCTATAATCCAGAGAGTGAAGAAATGAAGAAAATTACTGTCGAAGATGACAACGAACAAGAAGCTAAAGGAAATGAAAAGAAGATTTTGTACCTCAGCAATGGTGCTTCAAATCCTGAAGAAACCAAATTAACAGCAACAATTAACGGCTAATCAATCGATAATCACCAAAGGATGGCAGTGAATGATCAGTAAGCAAATCAGGCATACATGCACACACACAGACTACTAACCAAAGACGTCGGAGGCGAGGACGATGGCCCGGCCGGAGTGGGCGGCGCCGGTGACGTAGGCCGCGAATCCTCCCAGGTTTTGGACGACCACGCCGGCCTCGCCGTCGCCGGCGGCCGTCAGCTCCGGCGGGTTCTCCAGGCACTGCAACCGCGGCTGAGCGGCGGCCGCGGCCGCGGCGAGCACGGCGAGGCAGAGGAGGCTCCGGAGGAGCATCGACGCCGTTGCCATGGTGATGGGTTTAGCTTGCATGGTAATGGTCATTAGATGCAGAGGGCTTTGTACTACATTTTGGCTTTAGCACGGTAGGTAGCAAAAAGAAGACGCACTTGACATGTTAGTGTCGCATCGATGTTGCAATCCTACCTTTTTCAATTTGTGCCATTCTGTCATGCTAAATCTTTGTTACACGTGGCCAAGTTCGTTTCAAAGATTTTATCTCGATTTTTGTAAGCACGTTTTTTAAACTGTTAAATGGTACATCTCATACGAAGTTGCTTTGAAATATCAGATAAAACCATTTTTTAATTTATTTTCTAAGTTTGAAATAATAAAAACTCAATTAATCATATACTAATAGTTTTCTTGTTTTATATACCCATACTTAATATTCATCTAAATCACTTCCGTTAGCAGGTTGGATGATAGCATCTCATCTAAAGAAGATGAAACTGCGCCTTCAGTTTCATTTGCACCCCTCTTTCAACTTTGCTTTTTTTATCCCCAGCGTTTAATTTGGAGATCTTACCTTTCAACTTAGATTGTTGAGATTTTGAGTAGAATTCCTTCCATTTATTTGTTCCTCAGCACCAATACAAAGAATCATTTCTTGTCTTCGACACTAACGGCATGCTGATTGTCAAATTCACCACCTACCTAATTTGACCCCCAAAGAAAATGGGCCATGCAATAATTCTCTAACTCAAGACTGGGAAGGCATGTTGTTAAAAACTTTCTTCAATTTCCCCGCAAATATCATATTCGTTGACACTCCTGTAATCCTATTCGTTTCCATGAAAATTGTTGATACTCATCAGTCAGAGAAGCCATCGGCTGACATTTAGACGATGCTGTCTTGTTTTCTCAATTATCAGAACTCCTGAATCATTACTTTGTCAAGAGCTACATTTCTAACCATTGTAATTAAGCAGTACAAGATCGCTGATTGCACATATGACACATCAACGCATTATGTTATCAGACACATGAGATGTGCTATGACAAGTTTATGCCGCTTAACCTTCAATCCTTCAGTTCTTTCCTTCAAGCTGGAAAGCAGGCCTTCCATCACCATCCGCCACAACAGGCTGCTACACAATGAATAGATAGGATGAATGAACTGTACTTTTTTTTATGGGAAGGCATAGGAAGTCTCGTAGCAGTTACATCAATTAAGTCAGAAAACCTTGGCCAGAAAGAATTTAAAGAAAAAAAACAAAAAAAAAATCTGAATATTGTTCTTCTAATTACCTGTGTTTTGGAGAACTAAACTAACAAGAAAATGTAACATGGATGGGGGACATAAATTGCAGATCGTTGGGTGGTGGCAGAATGCAAGAATACTTATTCCCCACACTTCTTAGACAAATGAGGAACAAAACTGGAAGAGACTTGGAAAATACAGTACCTGTATGTCTTGTTGGTCGTGAATCTTGTCAATCCATACAGATCTTTATACCAATCAGTCCATACACATAATGTTTAGGTGTTATAATGGCATCAATGGATCTTCTTTAGGATTCCTCTTAATATATACAGTGTTTATAGTCGTCTTGACATGTTCACAGCCATCACACTCCACTACTCCAGGCTTTCTGTAAGCATATCATACTTGCATTCCATGTGAGCTTGCAAGCAATCAAGAATAGCCAGGACATTGTTTACTTGGTGGCTCTTTGATCTGTTCTCTGCCGTGAAGGAATAAACCTTATCACCGACTTCTATCCAGCTACACCCAATGTTCGTCTTTAGGCCTCTCGCCTTCATTGCCATCCTCACTCTGGCCACATCACTCCAGCAACCAATTGTGGCATACAGATTTGCTAGTTGTATATGAGTTGCAGCACAACCTGGCTCAAGTTTAAGACGGTGCTCTGCAGCCTGGATGCCGATCGAAATGTTCCCATGCACCCTACAGGAACCCAGCAGAGAGCCCCATATGACGGCATTTGGAGGGATAGACATTGTTTGGATCAAATCCCACGCTTCTTCAAGCAATCCTGCGCGCCCAAGAAGGTCGACCATACATGAGTAGTGATCGAGCCCTGGTTTTATTCCATGTTCAATCATTGTCTTGAAGCAGTGTCGGCCTTCCTCCACAAGGCGTGCATGCCGGCATGAAGAAAGGACACCAAGGAAGGAGAGAGCATCTGGTACTATGTGTTGCCTCTCCATTTCTTTCAGCAAGTCAAGGCAATGCTTAGCAAGGCCATACTGCGAACATCCAAAGATCATGGCATTCCACGAAACAAGGTCTTTACAGGCAATGAAGCCAAATATGGACTGGGCTTCATCTATGCACCCACACTTTGCATACATGGACAGCAGGGCATTGGAAACATGCACATATGAATGGAAACCCATTCTCATTTGTAAAGCATGAACACTTTTACCAAGTGCTAGAAGTGCGTGGTTAGTGCACACACTAAAAAGAGTGGCAAATGTGATGTCATTTGGCTTGCAACTTGAAAGCCTCATTGACGCAAACAAATGGAGACATGGTTCAACCCGATTATGTAGCGCAAAACCAGAAATCATTGCTGTCCATGACACTGTGTTTTTGGTTGGCATGGTCTGGAAAACCAAGTACGAACTTTCCAACTGGCTACACCTCGAATATAAGGTGATAAGTGAGCTGCCAATAAAGACAGTTGAATCACAGCCAACTTTAACCAATAGACCATGAAGCTGTGTGCCTTGGGTGAACATTTGCCTATCAGCACAGGAACTCATGGCAGCTGCCAAAATAGATTGATCTGTACTGGTTTCTCCTTTCCTGTGCAGCTCCATTATCAGCATAAACATGTCCTCCTTTATGAATCTAGTCCTGGAACGCAAAGCCGAGCCATTATTTGAAACAAAGCTATCAAATTTAGCCTGTGCAGGATTGCTGCATGAGTTAAAAGTGACACCATTTCCCTTGTGTATAGTATGATTTGATTGAACCCCCAAGATGTCATTCATGCAGTCATGGATTAGTTGGTGATGGCATGGACCTCCCACTTTGTCATAGTCAGCCTTTCTTGGTACAAGATTCAAAACTTTTAGCGCACTGTTGATGTTGCTGCCATGCTGGTCCTTTGATGTGCTTTGTGCTGCAGAAGTCCCATAGCTTGCAACAGGTACACGAATAGCCGATGCTGCTGCTGCTGAAAAACTGCTGAAACAGCCACGTACAAGACGGTTGTGCATAACTGAAGCCGTCCATGTGTGAGCCAATGAGCACGATTGAGGAGCAGAAAATAGCAAGCGATCCAGAGCACTTAACATGTGCCATGGAGTCCCAGTAGAGCCCCAAACATGTTTGGAAGATAATCTGCACCCGCACCTTGGGATCAATCTTGCTCGCTGAAGAAGAAGCACATAAATCATCAAACAAAGGATAGATGGATAAGACTGGTAAGGATGGCACCATGGAGAAAATAAAAATCTAAAAGGCTAAAACTAAATGAACGGAGAATAAGATTTTGGATTTGATTCCTCACAGCCACAGCATTACAGCAATCTAAGGGTTCCTTAAAATAGGAGAAATCAACCAAAATCCAAATGGACCTCCCCAGGATTTCAGAGTTATAAATAAAGTTACTGTTCAAAGATTGATAACAGCAAAAAAATCAGCTACAAATTACATCTTGTGTAGCAAATACAACTATGTTTCTAAATGCAAGAAAAATGTGTGATCTAATCGCTCGGGAAGTTCAGCTAGTTGGCACAAATCTGCAAAGCTTGTAAACAAGTTTATACTTGAGGAGTTGAGGTTCTTGTTTGCTTCAAATTTCTATTTCTTCAGGATGGAAGTGATCTAGCATTCTAGCCTAACCCAACTTATTCTTGCTAGGATAAAAATGGCCCGTTCACTGATTCACCATCTCGAATTGAACAAAAAAAAATTGAGTGGGGAAAAAATTGGGATTCACCTGCTTGCTACCTGAACTGGGAACGGTGACCCCCAGCCACCGCGCCAGCCCAGGACGCCGCCCGCGGGCATCCACCGTAGGCTGCAGCGAGCGCCGGTGACCTAGCCTCGCTGCGTGGCGCGCGTGGCCCTTTGAGGCTTGGGCCGTGGACAACGCCGGACGGAGAGAGAGAGAGAGAGATGAGGTTTAGCCTGGAGCACGCTGCTCTGCCGCTGGATGGCGCCCCACCGGCCGGCCTCGCCTGGCAGCCGCCGCGCCGCTCGATTCGCCGCCGCCTGCGGAGACGATTTGATGGTTTGGTTATGGGACTTGGGCCGAAACACATGCAGGAATGAGTCGGGGAAAAGATGGCCCAATGGGCTTAGGTAATTGAATTTTGAACTCCACTTTATTCGGAAACTGAAACTGTCATCCTTGCTACTTAACTACTAGGCATCACTGTATACCACCAGGTGTTCCCTCTGTTCCATTTTCTAAGACACTTTGTATCCTCTTTTGTTTAGACTTATAAGCTAGGGGCTGATCGGGAGATATTACTGCGGCTATGCAGCTGCAGCAGTAGCATCACCAAACCCAACACCAGGGGCGGATCCAGGAATGAAAGATTGGGGTGGGGGGGTGGGGGGGCGCTCAACCTTTGAAAGACATTACTCCCAAATTTTTCAGGTTTTCCTGGCTCAAAGAAAACATAACAGTACAAGCAAAATGCTGCATCCTTTGATTCACTATACTCTAACCAATCATAGATCTCCAACCAACGTTGTTGGAAAGATCTCCATTCACCACTTTGCCATTTGCAAGGAAATGTATAACCAACTGGTTGAGTTGGACCCCTTAAAACAAATGCCCTCTTCACTTGATCTCTAATCTCAAATGGATACTCATCAATTGGTTTGCACGTTCCTGGATCACTAACAATATCTAAGCAAGTAAACTCTACCCTTGCCAATTTTTGTTGTCTTGTGTTCTCATCATCCTCTGATGCAGTAGGAGTACTGCTGCTGCCACTTGAATAATAGTTGAACAATGTTCTTTTCGACATGCTGAGATTCTAGTCTAGACAAAAAAAAAGAAAGAAAGAAACTGTGCTAAATTGTTAATGGATTGAATCATTCCAAATTTCCAATTAAGTAATCAGTAATCACAGTTGCATTGCATATTTGCATAAAATTCTAAGCATTACATACCTTGTTTAGTTATTTTGCAGCCGTTGGCCAGCTGCTGCCTGCCTGTTGCTCGCCTGGTCCTGCCTCTTGCTCGCGTGCTCCCGTGGCGTCGCCAGCACCGGCCTGCAGCCTCCGCCGCCGCCGCTGGCCTGCTGCTGCACCTGCTCGGCTGCTCGCGCTCGCGGCGCCGCGCGCTTCGCCTGCTACCTGCCGCCGCCCGCCGCCGCGCCGCACGCTTCCGCCTGCTGCCTCGCCAGAGCGCGCTCCGCTGCGCAGCTCGTCGTTACCTCGCCGCCTCCCCCGCGCCGCTCACCTCTTGCGCCGCCGCACGGGGAGCTCACTGCCTTGGCTAGTGCTAGGGATTTGGGGCTGGGGATTGGGGAATGGAAACTTGGGCTGGGCCGCTGGGGGCTAGATGTGGCCTGTGGGCCTGCAGCCTAGAAGTATTTTCTAAGGGGAGTAAGTCCACTATGACTCCCTTAACTAGTGACCGAGTCTAATTCGTATCCCTTAACCACAATACCGGATATCTCGACCCTCCCTCCTTCCTCTCTCTCTCTCTCTGACGCGGGAGCTAGCTAGAGCGGCAACGGTGGTGGGATGGAGCTGGAGCGGCAGCTAGCGCTCGAGGGACGGCAAGGAGGCGGGACAAGATGGCAGCGCCGATGCCGATGCCAACGAGATCGAGGGGGGCGGCGGTTGACAGCTTCGGCGGGCCAAGAGCTGGGCACTAGTGTGGCCCGAGGGTACCAGGGGGACATCCGAGCAGATGGCGTGGGACCGCCTCCTTCTCCTCCTCCTCTGCCACCGCGAGGAGGTGCGACCTTGTAGTCCAATGCCGCCTTCTTCTCCTCTGCCTCCACCCGCTTCAGCTCCAACCCACCGCTGTCGCTTCAACTCCCGCTGACCACCACCACTCTGGTCCCGCCCGCCGCCGCTCCAGCCCGTGCTCCGTGCGGACGACCGAAGGGGAGAGAAAGAGAAAGAAAGAGAGGATGATATGTGGGCCCCACAAAATTTTTTTAATGACAAATGGGTCCCACATATAAGTTTTTAATTCAAATACCACCTAAGCGCCACGTCAATGCCACATACCAGTCAACATTGCCACGTAGGCACCACGTCAGCAAAACCGCCAAGGGAGTTAAATTGCACAGGTTTTAATAGTTTAGGGGTCAAGATATCTGGTTTTGCGGTTGAGGGTCATGCATTAAATTTGGGTTAAATTTCAGGGAGTCAAAGTGGATTTATTCCTTTTTAAGGGGATTCCTTTTCTAAGTGAGCCTGGCCCAAATGCATTCATCGGCCCAATTTCACGCTTTTTCAACCTCTAGCTATCCAGATACCTAGCGCACCTCCTACTCTATCATCCATGGCGAAATTTTTGAAGAGGGCATAGGGTGGGGGTTGTCCATAGGTCCAGAGAGGGTGGGGGAACTCAAGGCCCCCACCCCCACGTTGAATCCACCCCTGCCCAACACAATTTCTTTTACTGTTTGCACTGTACATGCAACATAGCCCCGGCTGTAGCTATAGTTGGCCATGTGGGCCGCCCGGCACGGCACGGCCCAGGCCCGGCCGTGCCTGGGCCGAGGCTTGTCGGGCCGGCACGGCCCGACCGACGCACCGGGCCGTGCCGTGCCAGCCCACGTGCCGCACTCACGGCCCAGGCACGACCCAACACGCCTCGGGCCGTGCCGGGCCGGCCCGAAGGCACGATGGGCCGTCGTGCTTTTCCTCAGAATAAGTCTAAATTTCCTCCCTCCTATTGGGCTGTGACATATGTACAGCTACAAAAAGTCTATTTTACCTCCCTCTTCTTTGGGCTGGGGTATATAAATAGCTAAAATAAGTCTATTTAAGGTCCCTATTCTTTAGACAGTTACATTTATATGTCTATTTTTAGTCCCTATACTTTATGTACCGGGCCTGGCCTGCCGGCCCATCGTGCCGGGCCGGCCCGACCGTGCCGGGCCAGCCCAGCGTGCCGGTGGGGAGGCCCAGGCACGGCCCGACGGTCGGGCCGGGCCAGCACGGGCCTGACCCAAGTCGGGCCGTGCCGTGCTTGGGCCGGGCCAAAAAGGCGTGCCGTGGGCCGGGCCTTCGGGCCTCGGGCCTTATGGCCAACTATAGCTGTAGCTGACTGCAAAGCAGCACAAACAATCAGCCTTCTAGTTTATGAGGTAAAAGGATTAAACTTAAACAAACAAGCAACTTTTTAGTTTGATTTTTTGAAAGCCATGAACCATTCTTACACTGTTACGTTAAAAGGTATATTGAAGAAGCATTTTTTAGTTTATGCAAGGTGGAGGTACGACTCCATCATTAAACTTAAGATTTCATATCCATTCGCTTATAAAACACATAAGCTAAAAATCTAACTTAAAAGTCTAAACTTGAATAAAGAGGGTCTTAGTTGTGTGCTAATTAAGTCAAAATTTTCTACTTTTAACTGTACAAATTTATCACTTGTTTAGGGCGCACTACCAATTTTTTTTTGTAGGGTAACGATACAAACAGGCTCTAACTCAACAGTTTGACATTTGGAGTGCTTCGATTCCTCCTGCGCTGCCTCCTTTGGAACACGTGAATTAACTTTCCAAAAAAAATAATAATAAAATCCTACCCATAATTTTACAAAGTGAGTAGTATTTATGAAAATTAATTTGGGATAGACTAAGCATCACTTGTCACACGTTGGAGAGTTTCTAATGCTTATCCAAACTAGCAAAAATAAGTTAATTGTTCCTATCTACTGCACATCTGCAGACCGCAGGTGTTTTAGGACATCTGACTGCCAGATATAGGTAACTCCAAAATAACAAGTCAACCCCCATTTTTGTTTCTCTCTTTCTTGGCTCCCATCAACTGAACTGAAACCATACGAGTGTGTACTGTACCTAGCTAGCTAATCAGCAATGTTCTCCATGTGACACTTTGCTATTTTTCGACAAGAAACATGGCACAGGCTATTAATTAGCCACTTGCTTAACTAGCCAATAATTAAGCGTGCATGCAGCATGAAGGTTGTTAGGTTGCATGGCATTTGGTAGGTAGCTAGGTCAACGGTGTGTTCTTCGTCGCTCGCCATGGAAGTTCTTTTTTATTTTTCTTTTAAGCTCTTGATCGAACTCCTGCATGCACGAGCCACCAGCGTGTGTGTTCAACTGTGTTCATCATCCAAATGCATTCCAGGCGAGGCAACATGCATGCAGATTATTGCAGTGTTTGGCCAGCCTGACATCCCCATGAATCCTAACATGCCATGTCCCCTATCTCAAACATTCCCCACGAACATGCCTCGCATGTTCCTGCAAATTCTATCATCTTCTCGATGATCAACCTGTTCTCGATTGGTTATTATAAATACAATTCCGCTCGAAATCGAATAGCAACAGCAAGAACAAGAACAAGAACAAGAAGATCAGGAAGAATCAATTGAAGAATTAATATTCCATGGCAATGCCGTGTTCCGGTGAGCGGTGCCGCCGCGTGTGGTGGTCGGCGGCGGCGGCGGTGGTGGCGTTCTTCTTCGTCGTCTTTGTGGCGGCGGCGGCGGCGGCGGCTACGGCGTCGATGTACGACGACGTGGAGGTGGTGTGGGGCGGCGACCACAGCTTCTTCTTCATGGACGGCGACGGCGACGCCCTCGCGCTCTGCCTCGACGAGACCCACGGCTCGGGCTTCCGCTCCAGGGACGCCTACCTCTACGCCCGCTTCGACGTCGACATGATGCTCGTCGCCAACAACTCCGCCGGCACCGTCACCACCCTCTACGTACGTTCCCCCTCCTCCTCCTCCTCCTCCTCCTCCTCGCCGCCGGCCACCGCCGCCGCCATGGACGATGCATGCTGATCGACATGTCGTCGTGTGCGTGCGTACGTGCAGTTGATGCCGGACGACGTGCCGTGGGAGTACCACGACGAGGTGGACCTGGAGTTCCTCGGGAACGTCACCGGCGAGCCCTACACCCTGCACACCAACATCTTCGCCAATGGCGTCGGCGGCCGCGAGCAGCAGTTCCGCCTCTGGTTCGACCCCACCGCCGACTTCCACACCTACTCCATCGTCTGGAACCCCAAGCACATCATGTAAGTACTACTTCCTCTGTTTCATATTATAAGACTTTTCAGCTTTCCTCACGCTCACATATATGTGTCTAGATTTATTAACATTTATATAAATGTGAGCAATAGTAGAAAGTCGTATAACCTAAAACGTAGATAGTAGTTCGTTTGATCCCTCTCCGCCGCCATTGCCATCGAGACAGAGAGCTTCGCATTGACACGCCGCCATTGATGCAGAATTCTGGTGGACGGCGTGCCGATCAGGGACTACCGGAACACGGCGGCGCGCGGCGGGCCGGCGTTCCCGACGTGGCAGAAGATGCGGGCCCACGGCAGCCTGTGGAACGCCGACGACTGGGCGACGCAGGGCGGGAGGGTGAAGACGGACTGGTCGGAGGCACCCTTCTTCGCCTACTACCGGGGGCTCCGGGTGACGCCGTGCGCGCCGTCCCCCGGCGTGGCGTGGTGCGGCGATGAGCCGCCGGAGTCGCCGTGGTTCGATCAGCAGGAGATGGACGCGGCGGCGCTGAGCAAGGCGAGGCAGGAGCACCTGCTCTACGACTACTGCGAGGACACCAAACGGTTCAAGGACACGGGCCTCCCCGTCGAGTGCACCATCAACTAGCTAGTTATAGCTAGAGAGCGTGTTTAGTTTAGTCCAAAATTTCTTAATTAATTCGTGTGTAATTTCTCTCGGTTTGTATATCGGTTATATATATATATGTATATATATAATCTGTTTTAGTTAAATTTAGAATTATTTCTATTATTATCTAAAAAAAATAGAATTATTTTACTTAATGGATACGCATGCAACACCATTACATACCAGTATGTTCACCATCGATTACAAGCGTGCTCGATCCATAACACACACGCTTCAAGAGATGTGGGCTCATGCAACGCATGGACGTGGCGAGTCACAATGGAACATCCACTCAAGTGATTATAACCCATCTCCAGATTGTACATGCATGTCTTTCTATAGTGTAGGGTATGCGTGCCTCACACGCAGCGACGGTTACTCGTAGCAATCGAGCGACAGACTACTCGTATGGGATGACGTCTGGGCAAGGGAGGGGAGAAGGGGGGTGGGACGGCACGCACCAGATCGAAGGCGGTGTATGCGGCAGTGTTGTGGAAAATGGCCATACCGATTGACTAATCGGTCGTAACGTTAAAACCACCACCGCGTTAATGTGATACGGTGTACATTTATTGTTCACGAACGTTAAAACTCGTTTTTAGCGATTAGTTGGTCGTTTTCCGTTAAATCACCTGAATAATCGTCCGTATGTTGTATTTGATGATCATTTAGTGTTGTTTTCTTTACTTAATTTAGAATTGTTTTTGTTTTGTTACATATATTTTTATGTTTTACTTATTTAATGCAACCAATTCTACCACCATATGATATATAAATCCGGTGTTAGAAGAGTTAATGTTTTACTTATCTGTTTAATTAAAAAACAACATGAAGATATTTGATTTATATAGTTAAACAAATATAATTCTTCAAATAAGTATATAATATAATAAAATTTGTACATATATTCGCGAACGTCAAATTTCCGTATAATTTCGATTAATCGGTGAACGATACCCTTTTTGTCCGACAACCGTATTCCGTCTTCTACAACACTGGTATGCGGCGAAGCCAAGGGCGGAGGCCGTGCCCCACCCGCAGCGAGAGGCCGCTCCATGTCTAGAGGCTGCCGGCCCAGCTCCCTCATCTCGATCGCCCTCCTCCGACCCGCGCACTGCCCGACGTCCTCTCAGACGCCGCCCCGGCGACCGGCGGGTGGCGAAAGTTGGTGGGCGGTTTCTGGGGAATTTTTTTGAGAATTAATATTATTTTTATGGAAAATCGCAAAAGTAGTGGCCAACCGGGGAAAATCGTGAAAGTAGGTCCCTGTCGAACGGGTGCAATTCGATAGGGCACCTATCGAACGACGGGCAGTCGACAAAGCCCTGTCGAACGGCTGGCGTTCGACACGCTCACCTGTCGAACGGAGGGAGTTCGACAGGGCCCACCACCCGGCGCCGCGAGGCCTGTCGAACCGGGGGCGTTCGACAGGGCCCTCCACCGACCCTATCGAACAATGGGCGTTCGACAGGCCGGCTTAAAGCCCCGTCCACCCAGGCCGCGAGTTCGATTTGTTTGAGGACCACATCGCCAGCCGCCGCCGAGAGTCGCCACATCGTCGCCGTGAGCGCCGGAGGGAGCGAGGGGAGGGGATAGCAGGCCGGAGAGGAGGCCGAGGAGGCGCCGGCCGGGAGGAAAGGGTTGGCGACACCCTCCAGCAGTGAAGTTAAGGTATACATTAGTAATCCCTAAGTACAATGCATATGAAAGTTTAATAAAAAATTGGTTTAAGAGTTGTTAATTGTTTCGCATTGTTCGATGTTAGTATGTATGGTTAGCACATATTTGTTATTGCTAAATGTTGGTAGAGGTATTTAAGTAATTGTACGGTTAAATTAGTTCTTAGTTAGTACATATTATTGATATGTTGTGTGTTAAAATAGGTACAAAGGTGTTATATTTTATTTGGATTATTAAACTAGTTCTTTGTTACTAATAGTTGTAAATTAGTACACGGCAATGTAGTATAAGTTGTAATAGGGTAATTATCGAATGATTAAATGATTAAACGTGAGACTATTTGTCATGTTTTATCAGGATGTCAGGTGATATGCCCATTCGTCTGTATTATGGCGATGTTCCTATACAAATATGTGATAGCGGGGTGGATTTGACTGTATATGCCTTCCATGATACTAGTCTGAATGCACCAGAGCATATGGGTTTGAACGACGTGTTAGGGTGGTTGTATAATATGTTTGGGGTAGATCCAGTGCACGATAAATTTGTCATAAATGCCGTGTGGCCAGTGAGGGGTCAACATGGATGGCAGTGGAGAGTAGTGGAGGTTGCGTCAACTGGGAGTTGGAGGAAGTTTGTTAGTAAAGTAAGGGAGAAAGGCTATAGCCTGGCAATAGTGGTGCAGAAGACAACATGTGTTGATCGATCGGGGGAGTCAAGTCATGCCGTGGTGGAAGAAACTCCGTTGGAAGGTGGACAAGCTGAAAATGTTTGGCGGACTGAGCAAGGTCGAGGGGAAGAAGTAGTAGAGGGTAATACACAAGGAGAGGTCATTGTTCGTGGTACTAATCGTGAGGCCAACGACTCGGACGATGAAGAACCGGATTCGCCTATGCGTGTTGATGCAGCGGAGGAGAATGAGGCGGTAGTGGATCAGATGGAAGTGGAAAACGAGGAATACCTTGCGCTTGTAGTGGAAGGAGAAGATACAACACTGTGGGACAACGAAACTAACATACCCGATGATTGGACGACCATATCAATGAGTCGTATGAAGGTAAACGATGGTTTAGATGCCCACTGGTGTTATGATAGTAAGCAGGTGAAAGTTGGACAGATGTTTCATGACAAAGGTCACTTACAAGATGCGGTGAAGAGGTGGGCATTTGTCCAGAAGCGTGAGTTCAGGGTGAAGGTTTCAAATAGGACGACGTATGACGTGAAGTGCATACAGGGTGGATGTCCTTGGAGAGTGCATGGTTACAAGCCACAACATGACACTTTATGGGTAGCTTCAAGGGTTGAGCAACATACGTGTTTGTTGGAGAATACCTGTCTGGTGCACAGAAACCTGACAGCGGTATTTGTGGCACAAATGGTATATTCAAAGGTGGTTAGAAAAACATCTTTGTCCCCTTTCACCATAATGCATGACGTTGAGAAAGAGTACGGATATGAGATATCGTACGACAAGGCTTGGAGGGCAAAATAGAAAGCATTGGAGATGAGGTTTGGAACTTATGAGGATTCTTATCACAATCTTCCCCCACTATTGGAGGTGATGCAGGCAAGAAACCCGGGCACACACATGGCTATTCTCGATGAGGTGAATGAATATGGGGAGAATGTTCTTCGTCGGGCTTTCTGGTCATTTGGGTGCATGATAGAGGCCTTTAGAAATTGCATTCCTTTGCTCTGTGTTGATGGCACTTTCATGACAGGCAAGTACAGAGGAACAATTCTAACCGCGATCGGAGTCGACGCGGATAGCCATGTCGTTCCTGTTGCTTTTGCATTTGTTGAAAGCGAGAACACATCAAGCTGGCTATGGTTTTTGCAGCACATTAAAATGTGTGTTGTTGAAAACAGACCAAATGTGTGTGTTCTGCATGACCGACACGCCGGTTTGCTATCAGCGATACAGAAGCTTCAAGAAGATGTCACACAGTCCGTGCCATGGCCAGATTTACATAGCAGATGGTGCATGCGACATTTTGGGGCTAATTTTTATAGACAATTCAGGAGTAAGAGATTGATGGACCTGTTCAAGAAGTTATGCAAGCAGAATCAACAAAGAAAGTTTGATGCCATATGGGATCAACTGGATCGTTTGACCACTACACACATGGAAGAGGTTAGGAAAAACCCTATAGTTGCCAGACAGGAGGAGCCGGAGGGACTTGAACCCATTCCTAATGAAGCACCAAGTATTACTCGGCGCAGGAAGCGTGGAAGGGCCACGAAGTGCTTCACGGAGTGGGTAGAATTTGAGCCAAGGGAGAAATGGTCGTTGTTGTACGATACAGATGGATCGAGGTATGGTGTGATGACAACAAATCTTGCTGAAGTGTATAACTGGGTTATGAAGAATACACGACCTCTACCACTTGTTGCTATCCTGGAGGGCATCACGAGGGGTACACAGAAGTATCTCTGTAAAAGGTATTCCATGGCTAGTCTGAACCTCAGCAAACCCAGTGTTAAGTATAGCCCCGCTATTACACAGTACATGGATGAGAAAAGTAAGAAGGGAGGAATCCACAGAGTGTGGCCTGCTGGGAATAGAGAGTTGTTATATGAGATACGACTTCGTGACAAGAGTGGTGTCGGCATTGGGACTACTGACATCACATTGGAATGCACGTTGTGGCCAGAGTATCACGCTTGCAAATGCAATTGCAACAAGCCTTACCTGTTACATCGGCCATGTTCCCATGTTCTTGCTGCTTCCGCAAAAGGGGGTGTTGATGGAAACATTTTTGTTTCTCCCTACTTTAGAAAGGAATCGTGGGAGGCAACTTGGCGTGGTGAATTGCGTGGTTGGCGTGCCGTGTGCGATTTCACTCGTCCTCCTCCAGGGCAAGCCAATTGGGTTCCTGACTCAAATTTATTACTTGATACTAAGGGTCGTCGCCAGTCGCGCAGGATCAAGAACCTTATGGATGAAGTTGAAGTGAAAGATCGTTCTCGTCGTAAGAAAGCTTGCATTCTTTGCGGGGAGAACCATTCCCGTAAAGATTGCAGCATGTACAATGTAAGGCAAGATGCCACAGGCGCTGATGTTCGTCGCGTTCCAAAGGGGAAGTCGAAGAAGAAAAATAATCCTTAGTTCGCTATTATCCTTGGTGGACTCCCTATTTTGAAGATCGTTATCGTTCAATTTATGTTTAGTGCGTCTGTAATTTTAATTTGAACTTTCTTGCACTTTTATTACCCGAATCTATTTGTAATGGCCTTGTAATTTTTATTTTGAACTGCACTGCACTTTTAATATCGTCATGTATTTGTATTGGAATTGTAATTTAAATTTCGAACTGCACTGCACTTGTAATATCATAATATATGTGTCGTGGGCTTGTAATTTTAAATTGAAATGTA